GGCCTTGCTCTAAGTAAAATGAAGGTGCTCCATAAAAAGAGCCCCTTATAAACTCTAGGCGCTCTATTTTGCACCTCTAAGTAAATTTCCTTGAGAGCATCCTTCGAGACCTTTAGGAGATCGAGAGCTTCATATCAAAAGCTTCGGAAGAATGTTAAATATGGAATTCAATGGTGATACCAGAAAGCACCATAATATGAAATAATAAAACATGCAACAAACACTATGTTAATATAAATATAGAAATATAATAGAACAAAATCGCAAAATTGTTCAGATTTTTCTAGATATGTAAGTTGCCATCATTTGGTGAGCTTTTATCAGTGTCAGTATCACTACTGTTATGTTCAGCTTCACATATTGCTTCATCAAAACGCATGGCTTTAAATCGAACATTAAACTTTGTTTCCTTTTTTCATGTTATCCATTCTATAAGAAACGCTAGAACATCTACTACTCGCAAAAGCAAATGAAAAGCAATGCGATCATTTGGACGGAAACGTGATCGCTGATTTGCACAGGCGATTTTAAGTTATTAAGAAAAACAGAAAATAATATATATATACTTCAATAGAAGATTAACGCTTGCTCGAAAATCAAATAAATCTGCCGGAGAATACGCTTGATGGCCTGTGTCCTTGATGGTTATTAGAGGGTTATTAGATTAAAAAATGATATCGAAAACCCAACATTGAATTTGCTGAATTTTTTCTCAAAGGGTTATCTTACGCAAATCATAATATTGCGGTCTGTTGGGAAGATTGTTTATGCTTGATCAAGTTGATTCAACAAATTCCAAAAATTTATTTTGCTTCGTGTTAATATTGATTTTACGTTTTGAGGGGCTCTATAAATCGCTCTCCAAGGCCTTTTCTGGGTGCGCTCTAGGCGCACGCGCTCGATCGAGCGCCTTTCCGGGCAAGGCCTGTGAAATCCTGACTGTAGTACCTTATTTATGACAAATTTCTCAAAATTTATAAAGAAAATTTTTATGCCAAAAGTTAGCTAGTCTTTTAGATACCAACAGAAGGTAGAAACAAAATGACAGTTATGAAAGAATTTTGGGTAGCTGGGAATTATTTTTCAAACTCCTTTTCACTAAAGCCTGTCTACCCTTGCCCTGTGGTTGTTCTGACATCCCTGTTAAAGAACCAAGTTTTAATTAAATTCTTGAATTGTGTAGTATTTTGGGCTGTCTTTATTTTGATTCTGGGAGTGAATTCCAGATTTCAGGCCCTTGGCATCTAAATGATCTGATACCTTTGTTTGTAGTACTGGGGTTTGGAAAGTCAAAAGAGGGTTTTCTGAATTGAAGGTTGTGACCTGTCGTTTTAGGTTCAAAATGGTCTTTCATGAAAACAGGATTAAGGCTTTTAAGTGTTTAATAAACATCAAGTGCTAAAACTCTATCTGAATGGTGATTGGTAGTTTCTTCTGAGTTAACAAGTAATTCTTTGTATGAAGATGAATAGTCTGAATAGGCTAGTGATTATGCCATCTCATAATTTTCTCTAGCTTATCCTTGTATTATTTATCAAATTAGATTCTAAATCAAAAACCAACTCTGCTACTGCCACTTTGACAGTTATGCTTTGAGAAATATATGAATAAAACTTAACTGTACACGAGAATAGGACAACTTCTTTGTAAATTGTTCAGGCTATACTTCAGATCAGAAACAACAACTAAAACAAGAATTTTCTGTTGGGCAGAATTAGCTAGAGAATCTACATTGTGCCAAAAGGTTTTGGCAACACATAACACAAGACATTCAACCCAAAATTGGTGGGCAACTTAACAGTGGTCAAACAATCCAACATTAGACAAAATCTCAAAACAAAAGAAACTCTTGGCATCATCAACCAACATTTTTTAATTCTGTCAAATTTCAACCAAAATCTTTATTTTCAATGTTGGGTGACCAAACATGGTGGTCAAATAATCTAACTCTTCACCAAACATGATGATAGGTGAAATGTTGGGACATTTGATCATGGCTTCTGGAGAATGTCTGATGCAAAGCACAAGTATGTTTCAAAACTTTTGTACCTGAAGATGGGTTAAAGATTTAGAAAATTACTGAAAATAAATAAGATCCTTGAACCTTTGATATTGAGACCAGAGTGACTTTGAGAAGGTTGTGATATGGGGTCAAGAACAAGGGAACAAATAAAGATACTTCAAATTATCTATCACTTTTATTCATCAATTTCAAAATTTTACAAACGACGTCCGCGTCTTCCACCCTTTCTTCTTGTGCTATCTGATGGAATAGGTGTCACATCCTCTACAATTGAAATCAAACAGGAATAAATATTTTAACAACACACAAGATCTACAGTCAAGGATCCTGACAATCGAGTCTAGGCTTTGGAAGGGAAAAACGTATGGCATAAGGAAGACTTGGTGTTGCATTTGAAAAATTTGCTCAAATGGCACTTAACTTGCCCTAATGGCTTGAGGACTGGTTTTGTGTATTGGGTTGAAGCTATTTGCCACAGCTGAATGACATGCAGAATTATTACAGGGTTTATTAACTTTGTCGGTTAAAGCTGAAAATTCAGTAAAAATCATATTAAGCCTGAATCTTGCTTTTACAACTTTGCAGCATCACTAAAAGTGAAGTGGACAAAGTCTGAGAAAATTAATTCAACCAGTAGCAGAAATATCAACAATTATAATAATTTGTTTCTTTTTGTATTTTCTACTTAGCAACCCAAGGTAGTTTTAGGACACAAAGAAGATGTGCTTATTGAGCAGCACCCTGGCCCTCCCTATTAATCTGACCACACCTTATGATTCCTACACCTGCCTAGAACATAGTTCCTGGCTGTGCAGGATCAAGAAATTTCTTGATACAAAGTTTGCTTTCACTTGATTCATGTTTTCACTTCTACGCCTGGAATGAATCTCTAATTCCCCTTTAACGGTGGCACCAAAATCTTTTAAAAATGCAGATCATATACATATATATATATATCTTAAAATGACAGACATATAAACAGCATACCTATTCTGCCAATCTTCATTCCTGACCTTGCAAGAGCTCTCAGTGCAGACTGAGCTCCAGGTCCAGGTGTCTTTGTTCTGCAAAATTCAATAAATCCTGGATCTAATTCAGCTTGACATTCATCCATATTTAATTTACGGAAAACAGATAGTAGCTGACAGATAACACTAATTTTAAACCACAAAAAGTGCGTGGAAGGAGAGGCACCCAATGCTATTGAGATAAGGAATGTGCATCTGGATGGTGAAGAAATTGAAGTGGTACAGACATTCTGCTACCTTGGTGACACTATTGGAGCCAATGGAGGGGTGTTTTTTAGCCACTGTTACCATTTAGGAAGTAATTTTTAGAACGAAAACATGTTAATGGTCTACTACGCTTGTTCAGTAACAATTTGTGTTGGGATTAAAATAACAAAGTTTTTTTGTGTGTGTTGATAGCACTTAAAAGATAAAAGATATATAATACTTTTGCACCATTAAGTTTAAAAAATTGCACAGAAAACTTCTAGCATCAATAGAACTGATATAACTGCTTTTCCACATGATTTAAAACAGAAGTTATGAATCGCACACCTAGATGAAAAGTTTTGCTCTGAGGTGCACGATTTGCCGTGCACACACTAAAATCTCTACGAAGAGGCCTGATGCAATGGTGTATGGCAGTGAAAATTGGCCAGTTATAGTTGAAGACCTATTATGCATGGAGCAAAATGACATGAGAATGATATTGTGGATGTGTAAGGTAAGCCTTAAGGATAGGCTGAGATCCATTCAACTCAGACAAAGATCAAAGCTGGTGAGTATTAGTGAGTTAATGCAGGAAAGGAGGCTTTCTTAGTTTGGTCATGTTGAGAGAAAGGATGATGATAATTGGGTGAAGAAATGCAGAATAATAAAAGAAGGAGATGTGAAAAAATGGGAGGAATTAAAATCAGATCTAAAGCAAAAACATCCAGAGAAAAAAGTGTCACAAAAGACTTGGCAAAAATAGACTGACCTGCAAGTCAATTTTAATGAACTGCCAAAATGTAAAACAGACATAAAATGAACATGATAATGATGATTAAAGTAATAAATAGACCATTTGAAAAAATAATTTCAAGCTATGGAAAAAAGTTTTTAAGGTGAAGTATCCTTATCAACCAGGCATTCGTCGGAAAGGCATGCGATCGCACGCGCACGCCTACCGCCTTCTTTTATTATGGGAGCAAAATTCATAATTATTGGTTTTGTGGGTTTTTGATATGAGATAATATATTTATCTATCCTTGGTACAATTATTTCATGCCACTTCAAAGAGGCTTAACATCTTATCAGGATTGCAGATAAAATAAAAAGATTTGAAATAACAATAGGACTAATCTACAGTGGAATCTCAATATTATGAGACCTGACCTGGTGACAAGTATAATTAATTTTCCGGCATGACAAGAGATATCTGGCCCCTTGAATTCTGCATCTGCACAACTTCTCTCGAAATATAACGAATCCCGTATATAACGAATACTCGTATATTAATGACCCTAATTGTAGTCCCTTCATCATAATTTTCCTCAATATGACAAACTTTTCCAAAACTTTTCACCGTTATTCTGGTCTACTTATTCCCGGTGTACTTATCACTATACATACATACAAAACATACATTGGCAAACATGCACTTTTAATGATGCAAAAAAAGGGGAAGAGATTTGTGCGAACGTTTGCACCTTTTCAAGGCTTAATGGCATTTCATTGAACAAATTCAAACACAGAAGACTATAACAGACATTTTTGTCCCCAAATTTTTAGAGGAACATTTAGTGTTTTGAACAAGATTTTCATTTTTGATCACTATTTTAGCGAAAGCAGCCAATTATGCGATAAAAATTGGCCGATTTGCCAATGATGCGATAAAAAATAGCAGATTATTTGCGGATTTCACTACCCCCTACAGCCCCCTCTTTAGACATCCTTATGCTTTAAATCTAGATTTAGTGAAATTTGGTTTAATGAAAAATGGGTCATCATTATCTTTTATGCATCTGGCCAGTGAGGTTCATAAAATAGCTGTTATGCTTGATAACAGAGGGCCCTCGGGGCACGGATTTACCTGCAAAAATGGCCATTACAACCAGATGAACGCCACAGCATCAATGACTCTACAGGCCCGTCGGAACCGGGGGGCTGGGGGGTAGGACCCCCCAATAATTGTCAAACTGTGGTATGTTTCCTTTATAACAGTTTACTGAATGAGAAGGGAAACAATGGGCAGCCCCCTAATATCAATTTCGTTCCCACGGATGAAACCTGCTTACGACATGGCAAACATATTTCTGTACTTGTAGTGCCGTTTTTTGTTGATATATATATTGAATAAGCTCAGTTTGTACTTGTTTAGAAAATTGCTCAGTTGCTATAATGTAGGTAGTCATGGTAAGAATTCAGCCAAGTAAGTTTCATCAAATTATTGCTATCATCATTTTCATGTTGGCAATTTCTCCGTAGAACTATCATAATTACCAAAAAGTTTTGTGAAGAAATGTCACACGCCATCACATGCCTGGATATTTTCAGGGGTGCGTTGGTTAGCAAGCCTGGTACATATTTTTCCCACAAAAGCCTGTCAACGCTGTCAAAATCTGTAATTTTTAACACAAAATGAAAATAATTATTACGGAAACTTGTATCATAATGGAGTTTTAATTCTGTTATGGATAATGACCTTATGGATAAATTTTAGTTCTGCTGTTTTTTGCCTTTCCCTAACTGCAATTTATACATGTAACTAGTTGTATACTTTACTTCGGAGTGTCTGTTAGGGTTATTGAAATATTGTCAAATTCTAAAAATGAACATACTATTAGCCTTAAGTTGAACTAATAAGAACCATAACATGTGATACATCAGAAGCAGCTTGCCAATTTCTGCTACAAAAGCTAGACAAACACCCATAAAGGCCAGTATATGTATATACCTGTTACCACCAGTGGCTCTTAATTTGATGTGGAGGGCAGTAATGCCAATTTCTTGACATCTAGCAGCAACATCCTGAGCAGCCAACATTGCAGCATATGGTGATGACTCGTCTCTGTCTGCCTTGACTTTCATGCCACCAGTAACACGGGCAATAGTTTCCCTAACACCAAAAAGCGTGAAACTATCGTCTTTGTGCAGGAATAAGGGCAAATCCTTTAAACATGTATATATACCTTCTTAAAGAAAATATGTGCGAGTGACTGATCCAGTGCTAGACCTGAACTCAAGACAAGTGACCCTGTAAGTTGTTGCCCTAAGAACTGAACAGGCTAACATTTCCCCTCAGTAAACTCTCAATTCATGACAGATTTTCACTAGAATCCAATTAATTATTCACTTAATTATATAGTTGATATTTTTATCTAGTCCAGAAACGTCAACATTTCACAATAAATTTAATGAGACAAGAAATAATCTCAAACAACTTGTTTATGCATGCCAAAAAATTCATTTAAAAATACACACCTGCCAGACAAGTCTGTTACGTGCACAAATGTGTCATTGAAGGAGGCAAAAATGTGAGCAACTCCAAATATTTGTTCTCCAGCAGCAGCCTAAAAATATAAACAGCTCACCATTGCATCAAGCTTGTTTTTACATGAATTTTAATAAAAAATGAGTTTTATTAAACAAGATGTGGTGATTGTTCATGTTTCACATCATACTATGAATCTCAACCTTTGCTCCCAGATTATTGCCTTAAAGAATGTTTCCAAATCCTTCTAAAAATTGCTTATTATTTACAATTTGACCAAGAGGGTTGCAGCTTCCAAACCCAAAATCTTGATTATTATAATGATGTTTTTAAAAGATTGATCAATGATTCCTTTGCATTTTGTGACGTGAACATTCATTGATGGCTTTGGAATCTATTTGCAAACTATGTTTGAACCTTATACACTCATTTCTTTTTATAAGAAACATAGGTCGATGTTGAGTACTCCAGTTTCTTAATGTTCTGGAAATTTCAATACTCGTTGTCTCTTAAGAGTTTCTTAATTATGATGTTGTGAATGATGTTATGAAATGTTTGTGACCTTTTTTATCACTTCAAGAGATTCGCTTCCTTTCTGATGCTGTATTTGGATGTGGGAAGTATATTTTTATCCCTTGTGTCTTAAGTTATAGGCCAATAGGGCAATCTTGTTCTTGGATTTTACAAAACTTCATTGTTCTCAGTTTTATCACGATTTAATTGTTTCTTAATTTTTTTGCTTCGAGTTCTGAAGTTTCTTAATTTTTCTGACTGTCCAGTACTTGTTTCTTATAGCCAGTTTCTTATAAAAAAAATGAGTGTACTTGCAAATTAGGTTTAGATCCTACATATCTGATATTTAAGACAACAACTTATAAATTAAGGTATACACAGATATTTATGCAATACAATGTCTTCAGGTGAAAAAAAATACAAACCAAATTATATATATATGTGTAAATAATAGAGCTAACAAAATGAGATCTTATAAATTTCAAGCGCATAGACTTTAAGATATAATGTCAATATGAATAGCACAACATATTCATACCAGTATTTAGACTTTCTAACAATATATATATTAAAAACAAATCATATACTTTGCATAATAGACTTTGGCGGGGCAAACCGATCATCTCATAGCTTTGATTTTATTACGCTTTAACATTTTTTTACAAATCACATTTGTTTAGTCATTAGGAACAAAATTATCGAGATAGCAATATAGAGATTATCTTAACCGACCGGCCAATTAAACCTTGAAACTGATAAAGATACCAAATGACAAATGCTGGCACATCTACTTGAGATACTGTAAGTACTTTGCTTTCTACCATTTACGTAGCAGGATTCTATATTCTATTGAAAGTATACTAATATTACAAATAAACTGTAACAGAGAAGGCACTAACCTGGGGTCCAAGGCTTATAACCTGTTCTTCTTTCTCCTTCTTACCCTTGCGAGGAGCCATTCTGAGAAAATATAATGTTATTATAAAATGAAACAAGCTTCTCTACTATTATGAACGAATCTTTTAGAAAATCGTTTGAAGATGGATCTATAATTTGCAGATTTTCCCTCACTTTCTAATAGTTATATTGCGTCCACAGCTGTACCGCTCCAAAAAGGCCTAAGTCAGGGTCCTGGGTCGAGTTATCCTATTTGTTCCTCCGCATGGAACTTTTAGTAAAAGGTGAAAGATTAACTAGGCCAAAGTGAGGTAGTTTTATAAACTATGTTTTAAACTAACTTTAGAAACTATCCTTTTGGGGAGTTTTTATTGAAGCAAAAGTTTCGAAGTTTTGTTTTCAGTTGCAACACAGTAGATAACTAATACTAGTGAAATAATTTTACGCAATTTTGGCTGACCTCTGATATAGATTTTTTTGTTTTTTTCGATTCAAGATTTAGTTTAATTTAGGCCTTTTCCTCTCACTAATGACAAGCACACAAGCTTGTAGAGGTCCACTTTTGTCTCATGTTAGTCTTTTGTTTTAGCCCATATCTAGACGCGTTTTCAAGTGAAGATGCCCTCTACTCGCATATCTAACACCCAAATTGCCACAGCATGTGGAGAGATGTTACTTTTTGTTGTCGTTGGTTATTATGCCTTAAAGTTTATAGTCAATGCTTTGGACCCTACAAACAAGCAAAAGACAGAAGCCAAAAAGTTGGTAAGTGCCAGTTTTCATGATCCCTGTTGAAGCAACTAGCTTTTGCATGATAAGCTTGTGAATGTCAGCCAGCTTTGAAACAGCATTCTATGAACAGGAACAAGTGTTTGTAGCCTTAGTTGAAGAGGCCTGAATGCTGGTATTCCACTAATTGTAACAGGGAATGCTACTTTAGAGTAATTTACAAAGAACGAACACAAACAATGACTCATGTAGCAGTTAATTAATTATGATGTTCTGATGGCCAATTTATATGTTTAATATACAATTTGAGTATATTAGTACATTCTACCAAAGAGCTGTCATTGGTCAGTCTTGTTTTACAAGAGGTGGTAACTGATTCTCTTAGCTTTAAATTGTTATGGCAACAGATCAGTGATCAGAATTGTATCTGCCTGAATTTAATATATGTATATATAGAATAATAATGATTATAAATGGCTTTGAAAAAAGCAAACATTTAGTAAACAAAAGCTTTTCGTCTGACACTCTTCAGAGTTTGAAATGTCAGAACATAAATCGAAAACTCTATGCTAAGAAATGTATATACCCAGTTGTGGATCGAAATAGGCCAATCAGAAACACGAGCACAATACTATATAGGTTGACCAATCAGTGCCGCTTGCCTATTAGAATGTTGCCAGTGGAGTCCTAAGGTGAAAACAAATTCCTTTTGTCTACACAGTAGCAGTTTTTTCATGCTTATGTAGATAGATTCTAAAACTGCTAGGTGGAACGACGATCGGGCTTTACCAATAATCCAAAACATGTCGCCATTATAGTTTTTTGCACTATCTGGGTTTTCTAGTAAATGCTGCCCGATAGCAGAATCGCAGGTTTTAGTTGTAATTTTCGATTTGCAAGACCGAGGTTGCTGTTCTCTTTGGGGATGGGTTTTGTTTCTAATGGGTTCTGTGCGTAGAGTTTTTGATCTATGTTTTGACGTTTTAAACTCTGAAGAGTGTCTGACAAAAAGCTTTAGTTTACTAAATGTTTGCTTTTTTTAAAGCCATTTACAAGTTTTGTACCACCAAAAGATTGTTTGAATAATGATTATGTTTCAATGTTTTCTAGTGTTCTGTTTTGTTTCAACTCGATAATTTGTATGTTTTAGGCTGAAAAACTAATGAAAAGTATTGGTGTTAAAGATATTGAGGTAAGTCCTTCACCTGGATAGTATCAGCATGTAATTATGTAGCAAAAAAAAGAACAATAATATCCAAATATTTGATCCCCAGACAGTGCTTGTGTGTGGCCTTTCTTAGATATTTATAGCACATTCTGGTGTCAAAATCTATGATCCAGGCCTTATATTTGATGTGAGGATTCACTTATAATCATGCAGCACTCATGCATATCCAACCATGGATGTTTGGTCGCTTAATATGCAAAACAGTAAATTGGGAGGAATAAATTTTCTCTCAAGAAACACATCAAATTTTCCCATGTCATCTAAACAAGTGAAATAGATGGTACAAAACCAGTTTATTGAAGCACCAGAAACAGAAGTAAGTGGAATGAACTACATCTTGACAGAAAAGTGTAGCTGAATATAACTTCCACTGTGAATGTATGGATATTTTATAGGCTTAGTATTTGAACTACACTAGTCCCAGGAACATCACAGGTATCGTGCAACAAATTATGATTATCCCACGATAATGCTCTATAAGGCCTTTCTTTATGTACACAAAAAAATTTTAAATGAAGGACATTTATGTTGCGCCTTAAACATTTCTTGTAGTGCATTAAAGATCAGGATAACAATTGTTTTCATTTGATGTAACCTTATACCAAAGTATGTTATAATAGGATTTTGCAGTTTTTATAAAAATCACAGATGCTTTTAGCCCCAATTTACATAAATTCCTCATATAGAGAGGGACTTTATGAATATCCGCTTTGACGTCCACCATCTTAGCGATCATACTTCAGGTTGCATTTACACAGTGCTGGATAACTTTTGATGCTGGATAACTTTTGATCTGAATCAAAAGTTATATCGATGGATTGCATTTACACTGTGCTGTACAACAGTTTATAGCACACAAGGTTTCTTTTAAAGCAATACCTTTCTGATAATAGGAATAACAAACAATAAAAATGCCAATAAAACGTTGTTCCTATTGTACGCTATCACATGTGGAATTCAATCAAGATGTAGGAAATGCTGCATGCGGCCTACTTTCATGTTACAAAGACTGAGTATGATCAAAATAGAGCTTTTGTTGCAAGCCCTGAAAGTTAGTCAAAGTTTTTCCATGACAACTGACAATTTTATGAATGCTGATCAAATGAAGTTTTATCAGCATTAATTTCACGAGGGTTGTTGTAGAATTTTGATTTTGCTAGGGATTCTTATCTTAGCTTATTTGTATTATTCTCATTTGGTTGTCAATTGTCATGCTTCAATTTGGTATTTAAGCCCTTATGTGCTTCTTTGATGCCATTGGGAATAATAGAGAAGAAGGAGTTCTGTAGTTTTGGCTTCTGCACGAAAGTGTGGGTCCCTTGACTCAGATGGGTGTATTTAATTGCTTTGGGTCGGGATTATTGTGCTTATTTTGTATGCTGTTTCCACGCTGTTCTCTTCTCCCGTCCCTTCCTCCCCCTTTTGATATCAAGCATAGTGTGTTTCTTCAAATCCCTATTTATTCTTTTCTATTAGGCTAGGGTCTGCTTACATCATGAGATTCATTTTCAAAGTTCTTGTTATTTTTCACTAGGCTCTAAATACAGTAATGTTTTCTCTTCCCCTTTTATATCTTAGGTATCTAAGATAGGACTGGTGCATTGGCTCTATGGTGGGGGGGAAATGAATTGTTCTTGTCCAATCCCTGCCCAGAACTTTAACCTGTTTGTACTTGAGTCTATTAAGCTATATCAAAAGTTAGGATTTTGTATGGGTTAGGTGAAGTAACTTGTGCCAATGCACTACCTCCTGTGACGAGGGAATGTGGCCTCAAGACCTGATTTGATGGGGGATATGGCAACATCTTCTGAGGGAGCTTTTTATTCTAATTGATGGAATGCATTTATTTATGATATCTTTTCTCTGAGTAAGAAATTAACTGCAGTTAACACCAGTTAACACCAAAAAGTGTCTGGGCCAATCAGGGTAACATTAAAATTATGCTATTCTACTAACTGGAAATTGAGGTTGCCCAAAATTTAATACAATCAGAAGCCCTTATATGGAATCTACTTAAGACTCAACAATATGCATATACTCTAATTTGTCAGATTATTGAAACAGTTTTGAATTTGCAATCAAATTTTACTTTCATGTCTATAAATCATTAACAAGTGTATATTTTCTAGCTTAATGATTATGAGATGGTAATTGCTGCCAACCTCATTGATCCCCTGTCAATGTCAGTTGCATGGGACTGCATTGGTGGACTCAGTGATGTTGTTAGGGAAATGAAGGTATGCAGATTTCTCTTATTAGCACTTAAGAATTGCTTTTGTAAGGTTTCATGACTTCATTTGCAAAAAGCAGGAGACAGTGCACGAGGCCATACACTGAATTCTATGATGCTAGTGGTGAAAAACTTACCCAATGATGTTATTAAACAATAGGCAGGAACAACACACAAAAAAGGAAGAACAATCCTATTTAAATAGACCCAATTTGAAAAGCAAGAGTTTAAAAGTTAAGTAGATGGTTAACTGATATAAGCCATATGAATCACTACTCTTGTTAGGCAGTATTCAGTGATTTTCATTCATTTTCAGTCCGAACCCTCTACAAAATTACTTTTTTCAAATTGAAAGTTTCAGCAGTCACAGTCTCAGGTACTTAGGACCACAGTTTTAGAACTACTTACCTCATTAGCTAAAGTCAGCTGACAGTCTAAATCATTCTAAAAAAACAAATAATTCAAATGAGCTGTGTAGCATGCATCTGTAATCAATTTTTATTGTACTAGATAATACATAAACCATGAAGCAAGTTCTAGTGTTTGAATTCTCATGGGAAAAAAGTTTTTCAATTTTGTAGCTGTATGATGATCAATCCTATCTATTGGTTTTCATAAGTGTTCTGTGCAACTGCATATCATGGACTAGAAATCTTAGCTGACCAATTTAAAAGAAATCATGATGATAAATAATCAGTCACCAGATGCACTTCATTGTCACTATGCTCAATTAGTAATGGAAATATTGTAAAAGGCCTGCTGATGAACTTGGTCCTGTTGTTTTTTCCAGGATAATGTTGTTTTGCCATTCAAGAAAAAAGAAATGTTTTCAAAATCTGTGTTACTAAGTCCACCAAAAGGTAATGTTTTTCAAATAGAAAGTACTATATGAATAGTAACATGTTATATAAATATTAATCAAAATTGATTAGGGAATCCAGTAAAAAAGCAAATTGACAAGCAAATCCTTTTTAAAGTTTATATGCCGATATCATCAAACGTACATGTACAAAATGCATGTAGCTTTACAGACACTGCAAATCAAAATTGGTTTTCTGTTGTGAATTGGCTGTGTGTCATTAAAATTTTCTTCTCTATGAAAAATGGCTAACTGAACTTCTGGTTTTCATTTTTTCAAAAATCCAAATAAACAGGGCTTCTTTTTAAATCCAATAAATAAGCAAATAAATAAAGTTTTCTTTTTTGGAAGAAATTTCCGCTGAATGACATTATTGCATTGAATAGGGCTAAAAAATTGAAAGAATGTACTAATTATGAATTGTTGATTTGCAACTTTGTGTACTTGAAAATCTCAAGGGCATGTTATCTCCTACTATCATAACCTAAGAAAGACAGTATATTTTTAGCATATATTTTATGTTTTGAATATTTGTCTAGGCTCTAAGCCAACAAATAACTGTTGTATCAATCTCTTCTCAATCTCAATCAAAAGTGGACGATTAAGAAACTTACAACACAATTATTTGTCCCTTTCCCTGTCTGAGCCCAATCTTAGATTATGCATGATTTTCCTCTTTTGGTAAAAGTTCAAACAAATTTATCTGCCAATTATGAATGTTTTCTGCGAACCTAGTGTCTAGGTTCTGAATGTTTTTACAGCTCTGATGTTGAAATCTTTGTAATAGAGTGTTGTAAAAAAGTCGCCAACCTCAGATTTAAATAAGAAATAATGATTTGGGGGTAGAAAGAAAATGGATGTCTATGCTTGGTAAGAGAAAACAAATATGGAATGAAAGAAGCATGCTTTTTCAGCTTGTTTTAAAGGTCTTTTTCAGTGTTCTTAAGACAAAATTGACCATTGTTGAAGCTTATGGTAATCGATAACTGGCTATTGTTGCCACTTCTGGTTAAGACTGTAGGAATAGGAGTGGTTTTGCAACCGCCTAAAGATATATCTTTGTATCAATGAGGCTTTTTTACGATCTCTGCAAATGTAAAAAAACAGTGTTCAGAATTGGTTTGCCTGCGTATTTACTCGGCTTCTTTACTGTTTAGTTGGATTGAAAAGGTTTTGCAATAGCCTGTTTAATTATCCTACCATACGGCGCTGCATTGGGAATTAGGCAATGCTTTCCATGAGATTCATCCTTGTTGCTTGAAAACATAGTCTGCCAAAGCTATATTGCGTTGGATTCACGGGACAATCCTCGACCAATGACGAGCAGTCTTAATAGCAAAAGTGACATTCAATGTTTAAATTCAAGTTCACGGAAAAATTTAAATGACTGACAATTTTTAACTGTTTGTGTGCCCTTTTCGCGAATTTACTGTTTGTTTTTCTTTTGGATTCGAGGAATTCTTCTGTATGGCCCTCCTGGTTGTGGTAAAACATTGATTGCAAAGGCAACAGCCAAAGAAGCTGGTTTGTGTTTCACTTTATTGCTGGTTTCATTTCCTCAAGCCTGTACGAAGTTTTTCTTTTCCGAAAGAAGAGAACTTGGATCGATGAGAAGGACGGGTTTTTGCTGTAACTGGCCTCAAATCTTCTCATTTTATCTTTAGCAACCTATTTTTCACTTTTTATAACCATCGCAACGTGAAGTAGCAGGGTAAAATGCATGAATGTTTTTGCTTCATTAAAGGAAAGTTGAGACTGTATCTGTTGTGAGATTTATTACTGACACCATGTATCTTTTACAATTTTTTCTCAAATTCAGTTTTGAAGTATTTTTTTGTTATTTCTTCGATTATATGTAGCATCCTTTATCTTGCGCTTCCTTTCTCTTCTTGCACACAATTGACAACCGGTGCACCTAACATTTGATTAGAAAGCTTTTGACTCCTAGTTTTTCATTTCTGAAATTTTTCAAGATTGTAGATTTTTGAACTTGGATATTTCTTCCTTGACTGATAAGTGGTATGGAGAGTCTCAGAAGTTGGCAAACGCTGTTTTCTCTCTCGTAAGTCTGAATTTTGTATCGACCATACCTCTTTCTAACCCTTTTACCGCAGTTTTTTAAAACTCTCCAACGCCGTCTAAGATATAAGTCAAAGAGGCCAAACTTTCCTTTTCGTTATAACTAGTAAGTACAACGGAATATTCACAGTGGTAGATGTATATAAGACAACAACAAATAACGCAATTAACTGATTAGCAGCCTAAAATATGTGGCTTTGATTGGTCAAAGTTAAAATATCCTAGTTGCCGAATATTTTCTTTTCATAGGCATACAAGATACAGCCGTGCATTATCTTCATTGATGAAATAGGTTTGTGGTTTCTGTTAGCTCTCTGTCTCTAGTTAAATATCTCGTAGTTCAGTCCAGCCCATGAAGTCTTGCAGAACCATCGGGATTAGACGTTTCAAGTAACACCTTATAAAGCGATTTGTTGTAGAACAGGGAAATAGCCCCTGGATATATCTCTATAAGACCCCCTCTTTTAGCAAGGCATTTTGTCACTCAATTGCCCCTTTTTCAGTGAATACCATTCCAACTCTGAAGTTTCCCCACTTCCTCAATATTTAACGTTTCTCTTTGTCTTAGATTCCTTTCTTCGTTCACGCAGCTCATCTGACCACGAAGCTACTGCGATGATGAAGGCACAGTTCATGAGCTTATGGGACGGTGTGTAATTCTAGTTCTTGTTTCTACTCTTGTCCTGTCCACTTGACAACTCTTCGACAAAGCCCCTGAAACTTGCTTTGTTCCCAACAGCTCGCTAAATGTCACTTTTTGACGATTTCAATATTTGTTGTTTTCTTTTTATTTCGCTAGGATTGTCATCGAATCCCAAAAGTAACATCATCATTATGGGGGCCACCAACAGACCCAATGATGTGGACAGAGCTATTTTAAGAAGGATGCCGTGTCGATTTTACGTGGCAATGCCTGTAAGTTGCCGTTTTTTACACTATTACGATACCCTTTGTTATAAATTTAGATTAAAACTCATTGTCTGTTACCCACATACTGCTCAGAATTCTTGCAATTATTTTTCTAATGTATTTGCATCGGTAAAATTTGCCCTTCTCTTGAATCTTTTGCCATGTAGATGCTTATATACTTCACAATGTTTCCAGCTCAATTAGATGAAAAACCTTGCTAATTATAACATTATAGAGTTGACATGTAAGTGAAGACTGGACTTTTACAAAAGTTCTTTTTTACAAAAATGGCAGATTTTAATGCAAACACAGCTATAAAAGGCATCAAGCAAAAAGTGGTTGGTTAAATAATAAACAAAACAAGTCCAAGGCACGACCATGGCGGCATCCCACAAATATATTCTAACACAACGATGTCTCACTATGTTTTGGGTAAGACTGTTTTCTGTCGGACCATGAATCCTGCGATACCATATGTGGGTAACTTGGACAGGAGTGTGTTGTGATCGACTGTGTGAACTGCCTTTTTAGGTCTAGGAACCCGCTCATGTTTCTATTTTTCTTATCGGTGTTGCTAAACCATACTCTGATACAAGAAAACAGCTAGGGTAAAACCTATTTATAAAACTGGATCGAAAAAGGGTATGTCTTTTTTCAGACCTTTTTCAATACTCACAGGTTTTTCTAAGATATGAGAAAAAATTGTACATGACCAATTAATAGAGTTTATGCCAAAATGGATCCAGATCTTTGCAAAGCACGATATTGATGAGGGATTGCTTTCTTGTTTTCTTGCATAGCCAATATTTTATTACATTACGTCGGCAAAGCAAGCCCCCTGATTCTTCTTCATCTTTGTTAGAACAAAGAACAGCGGCTTGAAATACTCCGAATAATTTTGAATGGTGAGAAGGTGCGTTCTTTTCGTCGGACACATCGTTCCCGATGTTGTCATCTTTACCAACTGTGTCTTTATTGCCGTTATTATTATCGTTATTTTATTATTTTTATGGATTTAATGTGAAATTTATATGAAAATTGCATAGTGGTCTGCCACCGTATCAAATTACAGTGTGTCTTCCTTTGTTCGTTCACACTGTTATTTTGGCAAGCAGTGTTTTAGCTCCGGATCAAAGTGCTTTTCCTTACATTGCCGGATTAAGCTGTATTTTCATGGATATGTTAGGTTTAAACTTAATTGCAGAAAGCTGAAATTGTCTGTTTCAAGTATTTTGTTACAAGAATGTTATGTTGATGGGGTATTTCCTTGGAACTTAAATAGATTGGCAGGGAATTATAAAAATTGTTTTGTTTTTTTAAATTTCAAGGATACAGTTTATTAATGAAGAAGGAAAGCATTAATAAAGCTTTTTGAAAGTCAACTGAGAATATGCACTGATATCTTTCTTGAAATATCATCTACTATCGTAAAATGTCCTATCCTAGCCTTGTTATCGCCAATATTTGCCTTGAACCCAAATTAGCGAATGATAATATAAATTGTTCTTTGAAATAAATTTTCCCAGTACTGTATTGCTAAGCTGCTTCTTCCTAAAAATAGTCTGTTTCCCGTGCGTAGGTTGATGTCAATGTGGACTTTGAAGAGTTAGCAGAGATGACTAAAGGATGCTCTGGCAGTGACATAAACGAATTTTGTAAGTTTAGTACTGCTTATCTGCACCGAGTTTAATAGCGTTTCATCTGCACCGTCCGAATGCTGCTATCTGGCCATAAATACTACTGGAACCTTTCTCGCGTTGCACCTTATCGCCGCAATTAGTTATGACCGGAAAAGCAGGGACATATATTTTGCCTTGCATACTACTCAGTGATAGAGTAGATCCCGATCTTTTTTGTTTAAACAGTATTTTTCTTAAAGCTTTGTTTGTGGTTATCGTTCATTCATATCAGTTTGTTATTGTTTCATTCAGGCTATGTTAACAATTTTCCTTTCGCCATTCAAGGTAAAACACCTTTTTTTGCAGGCAGACTGGCTGCCCTTAATTGTATTCGTAGTGTCACCGAAAATACAAAACAAACTACATGGTATGTTTATGGCATTTTCTGTCCAGTCTTCAAATATCGTATTCATACGTCTAATGTGATATTTTTGTTTTAAATATATCCTTTCGGTACATCTGATGAAGGATCTTGAGTGAAGATGAAATCTTGAAGATGAAATCTTGAAGATGAAATCTTGAAGATGAAATCTTGAAGATGACGAGGTGGCAAAAGTTGAGACTTCGCCATTTATTGTGCGAATTGTTCATGGAGTGATGTTGCATCAGTGCCTTTAGCCTCTGCTATTCACAAAATTATTTTGTGTCATTACCGGAGGCGGAGCCACAAAAATTTTTCAACTTGTAGATGGGCCACAAAAATAATTCCTTTTGAGAACTTTTCGTACAGGGTCATTTAGCTTTTGAGAAACAGTTTAGCCTGTATTCATGTCATTAGAACCTTAGATACGTCAACGAAACACTCTTAAACACTGCCAAAATCTCAGTCCAAATATGAACTTGAATTTTCTAGTTCTTTACTTTCAGACAGTTCAGTCAAATTCTTTTATATTCAAGTCACCCAAACTCTATTCAGTCATTTTCCAAGGTGAATCCATAACAAGACAATGTAGTACCTGATCACATGTAACATATACTATGTGAGGTGAAACGGGGAATTCTCTCGGTTGTTTTTTGGATGTATGATTTAAAGAAAATATATTTATGAAGATAAATGAAGAAGAATTTTTACGATTGGATGCTGTGCTGAAGACTCAAGCAAACAAAGCAAGCGTAAAGAGGTATAAAGCCAGCACACATCATACATTAAACTGTGAGTGATCAGGAAAAATTCTTACCTATCCGCAGTGGATCATTGAAAGATTTGCTTTTTAATCAGGGCTTTCCAAAATATTTTGGAAACTTCAAATATCTCCCGCCGTCTATAGTAGATACTTCATGGCCTTTCTCTTCAACATCATAATTCAGGATACTCATGCTTACTACAGGTGTGATGCAACGGAGGAGCCTTCACTTGGTCCAATATCAATGAGTGACTTCTTGGAAAGTTTCGGAAGAATGCAAAATAGTCACGCTCAGCTTGCAGCGCATGGCTTGTTCGATTAAAGCTATAATTGTTAAATCGTTCAGTGTTTTGTAATTTTTGATAAAGTAATTCTGTGTCAGTTTTGAGAGCGATTGTTGTATAGAATTAGCCACAGTATATGGACGCGTTTGCTTTTCTGGAAAGATTCTAACATATTTCATCTGCCCCTAGAAACTGTTCAATGTGGTTTGATTTGTAAGATTAACCTTCTAGAGTTGTTACTGTTCTTCTCTTTAACTGAAATGTTTTAACTGTCTTCCTTTCAATTCACGTAAACCTAGGTTCAGAGGATGTAAGGCTTGCGCGGCCATTCTCATTTCCACATATATACGCAATTTTCCATCCTATTTTGGAACCGCGACTAGGGGTGAAATTCACGGGGTTGGCTGATTTTCAATTATTGAATAAATGATATTTTTCAAGCTCTTTCAGAGCAGCTGTAATTTGCTGTTGTGGATGGGAATTCACCTCCATGGCTGAGCTTCAGTATAACCTCCATTTTTATTTTGAAATTTTTTGTGCTGTTAAAATAAGCTCCCTCAATCAGTTAACCTGTACATCCCTTAATCATATAGAATACCTTATTCTGGATTCCGCCCTTACTATCTTACATAAATCAGTATGTTACATTAAATGGCTACAAGGTATTAAAAATCTAATATGGCGTGCCACAGGAGTAGGTTCTTGTTCCCATTCTAACAACAAGTTCAAGATTTGTATCTTTTTTCAGATGATGCCAGTATTTACTTTAAAAGTGTTATAAGTCAAGAAAATCACCAGGAAACTTAAATTTGTTAATTCTGGTTGAGTGCAAACATACTTAATAAAAGTAAAACTAATTTCATTACTTTTTTATTGTTTACTTCCTTGCTATGTCAATCTTTCCCGGTGTTGCAGTTGAAGTAGGCAAATATGCGTTGTTAGAACTATACGTCGAGCTGTCCAAGAAGCTAGTTAAAACTTGTGCATAGGATAGTATTTATTGCTAGATATAAGGTTATACTTTAGTCAAAAGAGCAGGTAAGATACAACACCATGCTACAGATTATGCTTACATCTATGTTCAGAATTTGTGTCTTGCAATTACTGATAACAATACAATTGAGAAATGCTGGCACAAGTATATCTCCAGGGAGTGATCTGGAATCTGGCATTCTTAAGAAAGGTTTGCCCAGCGTACTTTCTTGGTTGTAGAATTTAGGAAAAAGTACATTTGGGTCGCGTTACTTTTCCAGGTGCTTTTTTGGAGTTTGAAATACTACAGAATACGAAAAGGTAGAGAAAATATGACTTTGACACAACCAACAAAGATAGAAAACTGCTTAATTAAGCATTCACACGATAAACATGTTAACTTTTCTAATCATAGCTAACAATTCCAGTTCAGGCTGTGTAAGTTTTGAAAGGATAGTGTGTAAAACCTTATGATCGCATTAAGCGTGAAACTCAGGGAAGCAACTTAAAAACGTCCTGATCTATGCACCAAACGCGTACACAGCTCGGCATCGTATACTTTACGGCATGGTACACTTTATGACAGACTGGTAAACAAAACTTTTTATTAATGTTAGAAAACATTTTTGGGTCTATTTCTACTCCTAACATTGGCCCTTAGTTTTTATGAACTCCATTCTAAGGATCAGCATCCTCAGAGAGATCAAAGAAATTAGAGGAGCAATCATTGGGGGCCATAACATCAATTATGTGCTTTGTGCTGATTATACTGCTCTTATCGCTACATCAGAAGATAAGCTCCAATATTTGCTAGATACATTAGTAGAAAGCAGCAAGCAAAATGGTTTATCAATAAATTATAAGAAAACAGAATGTATGGCTAACAGCAAAGGAAAGTAATACCAAAATATTCAGCAAAATAGGAGAAAAGCCAAGTCAGAAAATTCAGCCATCTAGAAAGTATGAGAAGAAGAAGCAGGGGGAGGCAGGGGTTAAGCTATGTTGGTAATCTGAGTAGATAGATTGGGATATCAGAAATTGAAATGATAATAGCAAAAAGGGGTCGCTGTTGGAGGGCATCCAAGATCATTAATGTCCTTGCTGGATATGATACTTTAAGAAGAAGAAGATCCTGAGGACCCTTTTATATTAGTGATGGCAAGTTCAGCAATCACCTTCGTTCTGCAAAACGTCTGAACTGAGTTGGCAATTGCATGTTTCCATTAATTTGCTTTGGCTTTTGGTTACAAACCATTGGAGTAGTAGCCTTTTGTAAAATAGACTATTTTTCTGTATCCCTTCCATGGAGCCCGTGGTTTCATACTCTCTCCAATTTTGAACAAGGCCGTGTTAACAGACAATCTGAAAGTAGAAACCCCATATGATTTCCAATGCTAATCATTGCATGACCTCTATGACATCATGACATCAACTTCTTCAATCGAATCATATTGGTTTGCTGTGTACAAGCACAAAAATACCCACCACTGGAGTACTGTACTTGTTACAGCAAACATGTTTTGGTAGTCTTCATATATTACAAGCAATATAGCGTTAATTATCTTTTTAACCCCCCTCTCAATTAGGCCCCCCTCTCTTATTAGCCCCACATTTTCAGAAATAAAATTTAATTAGCCTCCTCTCTCAATTTAGCCCCCGCCCCTGCAAAAAATTTCACTGCTGCTGAAATAAGTAAACTTGACAAAAAACAGAAATTTTCATTTTATTCATTGGTCGTTCAATGCTTCGCATCAAATCAAAATTCACACCATGTCCCTTCCAGTCACGACAGATCCGAAGACAAAAATTTAATGTGCATTAAGCACGGGCCATGTGAAAACCTTTTATCAAAATTCAGGCCGTTGGTACTCCGAGGGATGATTTTACGGTAGACACATTAACCCACAGAAAAAGATTATATTTGTCACTAATCTATTTATAAAGTGTGGAGCTCAGCATCTCTCAGGTATATTTACACTTTTTAGGACGATTTCGATCACCAGGAAACTCGAGGCTAAAAGCAATTTAGTTTCCTATTTTGAAATAGTCCAAGAAGATATTAAGAAAAAATTGATCGAGGACAAAATGGAAAAAGAAAACTAGTGCATCAGCAGAATGAGCAAGTGAAATTTCCAATGTGCAGATAGAAAAAGAATCCTTGTTCTTGCCTTGTTGATAGCGTAGGATTAATGTATATTGAGTTTGTTTATACAGTTTTTTCATGCATTTAGTATATAGCTGGTCATCATTAAATTTGTATATTAATAAAAATATTGTGCACCTTGCCTCTTGAAATCATGCTAAATGGCAACATTCTTGGTCAATTGGTATATCCGTACTAATGGTATATTGCTAGAAAGCTAATGACAACTTGCGCCTCTCTTCTTCTAAACATTTTTTAACACTTTCAAATTTACAACCTCTTCGGTTAATTATTTTCTCAAATGACTTTAGTTTACTTTTGCCGCTTCTTGCTTTCAAGATGGTATGATAATTGAAATTTGATGATTCCGCTCTTTTTTCCCTTTGGAACCATTGTTTTCTCTTTCTCTGTCTGCATCTCGTGGTTGGCCTTCTGGTTTTGTAGAGCCTGCGTGTTCAAATCGAAGCCTGCCGATTTCTTTTATTCTTCTACTGATTTCTTTAAGGTTTTCTTTCTCTAAAGCCTCAATCTTCCTCTTGTTCAATTTGCCATTCTTCGCCCTAGCTTGTTCTTTGGGACTGTTCGTTTTTAAGTGATTGTCAGCATCGAAGCTTGATAAAACTTTTGTCTTTTTATTACTTTTTCTTTTATTTCTCCTTTTAATTTTAACATTGTTTTCATTGACATTCTCTTTTCCAACTTGCTGTTTGTTTCGTTTCTTCTTTTCGTAGTTTCCAGCAGCTTTGTTTTTCCGTGCGCTTATCTTATCAAGATAGATCAGGTGCTCCGGTCTTTTGATGGAGGGCAGTTTGTCAACCTTTTTTATCTCCAAGCAGCATCTAATGCCATTACCGCCTCCTTCCTCTTTTTGCCTTGTTTTGATAAGCTGATCTATGGCGTCGAGGCCGGGTATGTCTTCTTGGGTTTTCGTAACAATAGCTGGAAGGCGAAAATATTTACGGTCCATTATAACTGCAATTAGAACACTGACTTGCTAAGATGTAAAACTTTAGAAAGACTTTGTGCTACTTTCAAGTGGCATTGCTCAAGTTGAAAGTTAATGAAGGTTTCAATGTCATGGAAACTGAAAGCAATGTTTATGTCAGCATTGTTGCCTTGACTTTACATATATTGACATGAATACCTTCAATCGCTTTAATTTTTCGTTGTTTCAAACATGGTATCAAGTGTAGGCTCTTTTTGTATTTGTTGATATTATATCGTAGTGAATATCTCAGCATGGAAATTGCCAGCATGAAATTGCTAGCATGGAATGCCCCAGCATGGAATGTAACAGCGTGACCTGCTTTTCAATCGATACCCTTCTCCAGTCAATCAAAGTCAGTGTTGTCGGGTCAGGTAGCTATTCCTATTTTTCTTGACAACGTGGCTGCTTGATTTCAATCATTTTTCACAAACAACAAATAATCTGTGAATCTTGCAAATCGGTACTTCTGTTTTAAAAGAAACCGTCTTTAAGGACGATGAATAGGTAATCTTACCAAAACTTGTTCTTGCACCAAAACCATGTTTTCTCAAAAACTATAAGTTCTATCAGCTAGAAACTTTTCACAAGTAATAGCCAACTACTCTTCAACAAAATGCCATATATTTCATGACGTCAGAATGCGCATGTATAATTTACGGACCAGAAACTCCGGACCAGTAAAAATACTTTAAGAAAGAATTTGAACTGTGGTGAGCTTTCTAAAGACAAATCACCTATGCAATAATGGAACATATAAAAAATACTCCAGGATGAGCAGAGGAAATTGTTGTTATAGCAACCGTTGCTATGGTAACCAAGAAAAAGGCTTTTTTGGCAATTCAAGTCCAAAGATTGTAACCATCAACTTTTCCTCTGCTCATCCTACAAAGCATCCTGAAAGGTACTTATAGACAAAATTTCAGCTTTCTGCCTAATAGGATAAGGAAATGAGGCTTTCTCGAAGTTCAAAAAGTAAAAAAGCGGAAAATCTAATTTAAAGTTTTACTTCATCGTTTTAAGGGCTAGAAATAGCATAACAGGTCAAATACATGATTCTAGTGAAAAGTTAGGTATTCTGACCTACTGAGTTCTTGATGCTTAGTAATCTATCCAAGATTTAGCCAGAAAATTATCCAAAAAGTAGTAACGTAAGTTTTCTTCAACGTAAACGCTTCCGTGGTGGTTCTGATGTAAACATTACATTGATGTTTTCTTCAGCAACAAATGTTATTTGAGGCTCTTTTGGTTCTTCTCTGTCTTTCTTGAGAATTACATCTGGTACTTTATGGGTACTGAACCCTCCAGACATATAATGCCTTCCAGCCTTTGTTCCCATCTTCTTAGCTTTTCTTAGAAGGCGCCGCCGGTTCAGGTATGAACTACGAGACTGATTTGCAGCATTCTTTATTCTGGTATTATTTAAGGCACGAAAGCCTCTTGCTGTATGCACACCAAAATGTTCTATCCCCATCTCCTCCAAAACACAACCAGCACCAGCAGCTCCCTGGTTCCACTGGATAACTGATGCTGCAGCTGCAGCATCAAGTTTACGCTTCCCACAGAAAACACGTTTTGGGCACTTTGACCACAAAACATTATTAAGAGACTCATTTTGATTCTGAGTTAACCCTTTTAAACAACGCTTTAGAAGGTCTTCTTTTGATAATCTTTCAAAAATTGGCTTCAGCTCTGACCGAAAAACAGCAGGAAGACATTTGTTTCGATTGTACGTTTCGGTTTTGTTTAGTTGGTCTTGTTGCCATTTGCACCATGACAGAGAGCCTTTAGGGCAAAATCTATGTTGGATTTCCAATGCTTCATTTTCCCCAACAATACTATGAAAATATATTGCCCATACTGCATCTTGTGTCATCTTCAAATTGCCTTTATTTGACCTTATTGCATACCCATAGTAGTTTTGCAATGAGTCTATTGCAACATCTGTCAATCTCCCTCGTCCACCAACACTCACACCATCTGGAAGTTTGCTTGCTTTCATTTTATTTTTGTACATTCTCAAGTTTGACCCCATTCTTTTTTGAATATGCCCAATGCAATCTTCCTTTGTGACTAAATAGTCACTGCCATATTTTTTAAAGCAAGCATCTGCTACCTCACCAAAAGACGAGGAATCACCATCTCCAACATATGTTACATATTTCAACTTATGTTTCTCTATAGACCGAAGGAACATTGTCACTGCTGCACACTTCTCCATTGCCTCTGATGATTTGTTGTGGTTGATACAACATTTATCCTGATGCTTTGCAAACCAATCTTTATACCTTTGAGAATCTTTGTCCCAGTTTCCTTTTGACCTACATTCGAAACAAATTTTTGACTTCACTTCCAAATCTAGCACCTCCCCTGTCTCAACTGCCAAAACGAAGACAACACCAAGTAAAGATGAATGACCATATCGTTTTTGCCATGTCCCATCTACAGAGACACTGACTGGAAATATATCATCCTCAATGTCTAGGTCTTCATGTGAAGGAGACATCTTTTTCATAGCTCTTTTCAAATTTTTGGCAGCTTTCTCTAAAGAATTTTCTACAACAGTACTGTAGCACTGCTCAATCTTGTTAATTGTGTCAGAGTAAGCATTTTTTGTAACTGGTGGTGGTAAATTCAATAAAGAGCACAGTTTTTTTAAACTTGTGTGTCCATTTCCTGTCTCTAGACCACCTTGAATAAGGCGAATATTTACCTCTGACCTTCTACCACCATCTTTAACATAATTGCTGGTATGAAAAATAGATGAATTCTGACAGTTTGTGCACAGTAACAAAAGTTCTTCATCAAGCCCTTTACGTGCCAAGTCATTTTGGAAAAGCTCCAATTTTCCTTTTGCTGACCTACATGATGCACATACTGCAGCTGTAGTTAAAATGTTCTGCAAATTTTCAATGGTTACCAGTTTGTTACCATATGCTTTAATATATTGGCTGCTGTTGTGGCCCTCCTTAGCACTACTTGTTGTTGGTGTGGATTTGTTAATTCCCAGCTGAAATCCTTTGGCTCTTGTTATTGTCTCCTCTCTTTCAACCTCCAATAAAGGGCAGTTATTATCAATCTTCTCAAAAGATCTATTTAACTTCTCTGGTGAAGAAGAACTTGCTGGGCCTAAATCTTCCGAATTTGACTCATGTTCCTGTTCTTGTTTCCGTTTACCACTGAACACTCTTTTCCGTTTTTTTCTGTAGATAGTATTCTTTTTTTTCCCAGGCATGACAAACTGAAGAATTTCAACTAGTTTCAAAAAACGCACAAATGTTATTTCAGCGAATAGTAGAAACGTAAAAAGTGAAGCGTGTCAGTGTCCTCTCGAGGCAGTCGGCAATCTTTTCGACAAGTACTTCATGTTATAGGTGCACAAACATAATTCAACTCAATTTAGAAACTTATAAAACCCCAAAAACGACAAATTTAGCCCTGGAAAGTCGGTTGACACCCCAATCATTTCCTTAGCAACCACATTTCATGCGTTGCTAGGCAGGGTAGCTATAATAAAACATAGTTTTATAGGTGAAAAGATATTTTTTTTGCAAAATAGATATCGAGAACTTAAAACCTAATACTTGAACTACAATTTTATACCAGAAACCCAGATTTGAAGAAAACAAATTTCTTTAACATATTTTACCTATTCATCGTCCTTAAGAGACCGAACCCTGTGCTGACCAAAAAATTGATACTTATATGTAAACATGATACTTATAACCCTCCTTAATCTTAAGAAACTGCTTGAAAACCTTTCTTTTGAAGAAGGGGTTTAGCACTTCTTTTTGGACGATTAGGGGCCAATCTTTTCGGACAAATAGATACTTCCTGTTGTACTCCACATGGCTTATACTTTAGGTCCTATGTTGTTTGAAACGATTGTTTCTTGTTTAAGCATGTTTGTGATTCCTGCAGCGAACAGAAGTCGAATAATTGCTTTTATTTTCATTTACAATCGCCAGATTTTATATTGGATTAAGAAAGCAAAATGTTTATAAGCAAACCAATGCTAAGAACCTCAAACAATAAGCATAGTGCTAAGCATATTTCGAGCCCTAGAGAGAATCTTATCCTGAAAATTGCCCGTGATATGAAAAAAACTTACTTATACAGTTCGATCTCATATAGACAGGGAATTTTCGACAACAATCGAGCAAAGTGCCTAACCTTAGTTTTTTTACTTGATTGGGGTACCTGAAGCCTTGGTGAACATTTTGAGCCTTGGATACATTTTTGTAAAACAATAGAAAGCACGTGATCGATGACGTAATTTTCTCCGGGCATCAAAATTTTTACTTATTACTTCTGTAAAATCTTTCGCACCATCATGTTTGGCATTGTATTAGGGGCAAAAAGTTCTAAAGAATGAACTCTATCAGACTTGCAGATAACGAGATATTGGTATTTAAAGTTTGCATGACATCATCAAAATGGCGGATCTGCAGTTTTCAAGCACGTGAGATTTAAAGGCTGATGGTCGTAATTTAGCTTGCTTGAAATTGAAGTTTTCTTACACATGTGTTATTCAGCAACTCAAGAATGTCATTTGAGCTGATATGTTTCCACGCCTTGGAAAGTAAGTATTGAGCACAAATGCAAGCAAAAGGAAAACGTTCTAAAAACCATTAATCTTCAAAAGTCTGTACTGTTAAGGAGCTTCTGTTATATGTTTGGCAACGTTCTCCAACTTTCGCAATTTTAAGAGCTTTTCTGAAATATGATCAGGTAAGAAATTATGCCAGTGTTAGATAATATACAAGTATGTACGTGAAAGATGTTTTCATTTTAATGTATCTTGTGAAAGCAGCTGCTAGAGAGTGCAATGTTAAGCATCATTTACATGCCGAGCGTGAGTTGATACCTCTTGCACTCAATCATCACAATCACGGACGATGTTGCAGTTGTGTGGTAAGGGAAGGGATCACTTAATCCAACTTTCAGAACACCTTTGAAAACTGATGAAAAGTAAAAATCTAGTCTCTCGCGACTGTACGAAATTGTCCATTTTGTCAAAAATATTGCTGTCATCTTGAATGTCATCAACCTAAAGTTCTTTTTTATCAATCAGATTCGTTGCAAGGTCTTCGTCGTTATGATCTATTAAGCCCCCTTCTCTATTAAGCCCCCTCTCTATTAAGCCCCCCTTTCTTTTAAGTCCTCCCTTATCAAGCAAAAACTCTAAAAAAGCCCCACCCTCTCTATCAAGCCCCCCTCTTTAGCCTTTGATGTCAAGCATAGAAAAAATGGGCATTTAGTGGGTCTCTTGATGGGTGTGATGATGATAAGATCGTGTGAATTAAATTGTAGCTATGTGAATAATTTTTTAAATTAGCTTCGATAATGCACAATTCAAATAATATATATTTTTAGGCCATTTTACTCAACTCAACCTGGCCCTATTCGATGAGACACCGGATAGGATAAGAGTAAAAATCTGAATGACCTTATGCTATCACATCCGCCATAGCTTCAGTCTTTTCTCTTGAACTTCCCGCCAGGGCTTCAAGTAATAATGCGCAAATGCAAAGACCCAGAAGCGTATGCTAGTGCATGGTCTGGAGGACGGGCATGATTCGTCTCCCGTATAATTTCGTGGATTGAAATGTTGAATCGATTATAAATTAAGAATAGTATTAATCATAAAATGAGCCTGTAATAAAAAAGGTTAAGGATCAAGCGAAGCGAGCTGAAAAACTTTTGCGACCATGCCCTTTAGATGAGCTAAAAATACACTTCAGAATATTTTGGCAATCAATTTCGTGTTGGGAATCAAAGCTGCAAAGGAGTGTTTTACTTGAATTTTTGAAAACTAGGGGTGGGACATGAACCCACTTTGCCCCCTGGTTCTAGGTCTTTGAATTGAGATCGGGCCTTTATCTTTCTTGGATGCCATTAGCAGTCCGGGAATTACACATGTACTTGTTTTCTTGGAAGTCATTCAGTTTTCAGACTAAGTACCTTTACCAGTGCTTTTCCAAACGGTTCGATGCTTTGTAAAGATTTTGATGCTGACGATGTATGCTGAATGTAAATTGCTAAATCCATCGGTTTCTGGTAAGTTAATTTTCAAAGTTTCTAAACTCAACTGTGGTAGCTTCTCTTTAATGGAGATAAGACTATATGAACGACTAGGCCTGTTTCTCTCTGGCCTGTTTATCTTCGACTAGGCCTGTTTTATCTTGTGGAACACAAAACAGCAATTTGTCAGCATGAATTTTCCAGAGATCTGTCAGCATGAATTGGTAATTAGATAGCTCTTCAGTTTTCTTGTGTATGGTATCACAGAATAAGAATAATTATTGTTAATATGCAATGGTATGTTCAGCGTCTTTATAATACGTGTGCAAGAGGACGACGTCCGGTCTGCGTGTGTGCATGATCAGACATTCTGGCGTGCTGGTGCTGGGCACTCAGAGGCGGATCCAGCGGAAAATCTGAGGGGTGCTTAAGGGCGTTGCCTTAATAGCCATAATAATGCCACACCCCACTTTTACTTACGGTTAAATGAAGGCAACACCCATCTTGATAAATTAATCTTTTTTAAATTCAGGTATCAAAGCATAACTATATAAAAAATTATCTCTTTTGTTAGAAGCCTATTTGCTAGCAATGCTAGTTAAAAATAACACTGCTACCTTTGCAGTTTGTACATCACATTAATCAATGAATGACATTTTAGGTCGTTAGTCAATATTTGATTGCTCTGCAATATTCAGACACTGGTTCATTTTTGTAAAAAGGCAGCTAAAATGTTTTAAACAAAAAAAAGCAAAATGAATCATTGCTACGTTAACTGACCATTACTATACGAAAAATTGAGTTAAATATAATTGAGTCATGATAAAATGGATTGGGTATACCCTAAGTGCCAGAATCCGCCGAGTCATGATTTTCATGAATGCCATGCTATTGGTTGACCTTGAACTGGTCACATGAACTCACCTCGTACTGATTAACAAAACAATTTTCATCGATAGCAAGTTGTCAACAACAGATGCAAGTGTCACATGAAACAGCAGCGATCACGCCGAATCCAAATGACCCCCTATAGAGAAGGCCTATTTACCATGACTCAATGCCTTTAAATCAATACTTGTAAGAATTTGTTTACAAAAATTGATTGTTTTACCAAGTACCTTGTGTTGAAGTAGTACTTTTTTGGGGTCATCTGCATTTGGCAAGAAATGGGTATCGAATTCATTCTGGTAGTAATTACCATACCAACCCAACAACCAAAAATCCTTGGCACCACTTTTTGTCGAATTAATCCAAGAAATATTCTGTTGAAACGTTTCGCATTTAAAGCCTGGTAAAGGAAACTACCAACCTGGAAGGCCGAAGGTCAGAACTTCCACGGGACAGTACTAGCATTGCAGTTCAGCGAACTCATCGATCTGTGTATTCCCACAAGTCACGACACCACGCTCTTATCAAAAACTTCTCTCATGATTGACTGAATACTCAAAAGCTCGTTTTCCGTTTCAATTTCCTCAGTCGACTCTAGACTGGCAAACAATAATCGAGAAAACCTGCAACAGCAACGACTTTATGTCCGCCATTGCTGCTACACGAACAGGTTTAGTCGTTTCAGTGATGGTATGCACCAGCCAGTGTATATTAAATGATTGATAGGGGTGCTCAGATGAGCCGAAATTTGGCAATTGGATTGGTTGAAGCCTTGTTTTGATTGATAGGGGTGCTCGACATTGCAGAAAAACATATCAGAGCGTGATGTGATTGGCTCAGTTGCAACTTTGACCTTGGAGGTTGATTGATAGGGGTGCTCAAGCACCCGTAGAATTGAAGTAGCTCATTGGCCGAGAGTGTGGTTTGATGGACAAGTAAAAAAATTGGTTCCAGGACAGCTCAACATGAAATTTCTAGCTATTTATAGTTTAAAGCAGATACAGGTTATGCTAATTAACGCATGACCGTATGTCATCAGTTTACTGGAAAATACATTTACATCATCTAAAAGGATTCAAGACGTTTTTCAGGGGATTAGAGAAAATGCATTGAATGTTATATCTCCGAAAATTCTGACCGGTGCTCAAGCACCCATAGCACCCCCCTAGATCCGCCTCTGGGCACTGACCAATTTGCCTTCGTTTGGTTGCAGTTTGAGAGCAACATTCAAGACTCGTTTGTAATTCTGTCAATCGTATCTTTTTTTAACTTCTTTTATAAACAAGGGCGGTGCGAAGTTTTTGAATTATTTGACTAACAAACCAACTTTTGAAAAACGCATTGAAAAAGTCTTCTCGATGTGTTATGCTCATGTTTTTTTAGTGTACTTGTGATGCTAGCGGTACATTGGAAGGGCCTGTAAAAGGTTGTCGGATGCCCTAGGTATATCTGAAAGAAGAGGTCCGAAAGATAATTTTTGCGACCACGCCCTTTAGTTTAGCTTAAAATAAATTTCAGAATTTTTCTTTGAGTCTTTTTCTCGCATTTGTTTAAAAAACTACTCTTTGTAAGGCATGCTTTTTTGTTACGTTTGATAAATGGAATCATTACTTTATGAGTCCCCATAGACCTTGGCCTATTACTTTGAGATTAAGTAAGACAAGGGATTTATTGCTCTATTTTTTCTTAAATTTCTTTTCCTTTATTTTTTTATATTTCTCTTAAAAACATTTTTTTTCCAAACCAGATGAGGGGGACTGAAGCCTCCTAGCCCCAACTTTGGTGCCGCCCATGAAATTTTGATTTATGTTTCTCAACACTTCCTCTGACAGTTGGAGCAGAACAACCCTGTGGCTTTCCTTAATAATGACCTTTTGCAGATAATTGATAAAAAAATAATTTGGAGTTTAATCAACGAGGCATTGTCTGCTACATTGTTTTTCATAGTTTGCAAAAAATTGAAAGTTTTTTGAGAACATTGTTAGTGTTCCAAATGTTGGGAAAACCTAGCCTGCATGCAGATTTCACTTTTCATTGCAAAGGACTGTAGTGCCAGGGGGGAATTGCTGTGAGAGTTCAAATTTGCTTTGGAAGTTTGAATTTGCTGGAAGAAATTGAATTTGCAGGAGAGAGTTTGAATTTGCTGTGAGAGCTTGAAATTTGCTGGAAGAAATTGAATTTGCAGAGAGTGTTTGAATTTATTGTGAGAGTTTGAATTTTCTGTGAGAGTTTGCATGTGCTGGGAGAAATTGAATTTGCTTGGAGAAATTGAATTTGCTGGGAGAAATTGAATTTGCAGAGAGAGTTTGAATTTGCTGAGAGAGCTTGAATTTGCTGTGAGAGCTTGAATTTGTTGTGAGAGTTTGCATATGCTGGGAGAAATTGAATTTCCTGGGAGAAATTGAATTTGAAGAGAGAGTTTGAGTTTGCTGTGAGAGCTTGAATTGTGAGAGTTTGAATTTGCTGGGAGAAATTGAATTTGCTGTGAGAGCTTGAATTTGCAGAAAGAGTTTGAATTTAGCAATGAAAGCAGTGGCGGAAATTCATTTTTAAATGGGGGACATTGCCCACAAAAGCAAGCAAATTTGCTGACAAATTAAATAATTTCTGGACAAAACCAACATTTTGGCAAAGCTTAGGGGCAGTTGCCCCTCCACACCCCCGCAATTTCTGCCACTGTTTGAAAGTTCAAATTTTTGGTGAGAATTTGAAATTTCTGGGAGAGCCTGAATTTCCTGTGAAAGTTTGAATCCACTGTGAGAACTTGAATTTGCATTTAGAGCTATGGGAAAACATATTTTTGACCTTTCTTTATTATTAAATTAGTGGTAGAAACTTAGCAGTTTAATTGCCTCATAACATGCAATGGTTATCCCCAATGCCCTATCAGGATATCAATACTCAAGGTGTTATCAACAATGGTGGTATGGGTCTACTCTTCTGCAAAATCACAAAATTTAATTTCAAGTTGCTAATTTTGTTGCAAATGATGCTAATTTTGTGTTCTAATTTATTGTTTACATGCTGTTAATAAATGCTATAAGAATTTAATCTTATGAAATTTGATGGAGTAATCATATTACCGTAAAAGCTCTATTAAGCCCCCTTCTCTATTAAGCCCCCTCTCTATTAAGCCCCCCTTTCTTTTAAGTCCTCCCTTATCAAGCAAAAACTCTAAAAAAGCCCCCCCTCTCTATCAAGCCCCCCTCTTTAACCTTTGATGTCAAGCATAGAAAAAATGGGCATTTAGTGGGTCTCTTGATGGGTGTGATGATGATAAGATCGTGTGAATTAAATACGGCCTATGTAAAGACTAACTTGTGCAACTTAGTAGTCAGTCGAAAATTGTTTTGAAGATATCAAAGGGTGATCAATTTATCCTTATGATGATGTTGATGAGATGAAGACCTTATTATTGACTGATTAAACTTTCAAAATAGTCAGCAAGTTTTTTGAGAACATTTGTGTGACATTTTCATAAAAAAATGGCCTAGGGCATTTTTAAAACTCTGTTTGCTTCAAATTTTTAATAAACCCCTCTCTTTATTAAGCCCCTCTCTCTTTTAAGCTCCCCTCTAGGACTGAAAAAAATAAATAAGCCGCCAGGGGCTTAATAGAACTTTTACGGTATATCAGACCAGTTGACTTTATAAGTTGAAATGTACCTAAAGGTTTTCATGTTCAAGAACTTTTTACTTACCCTATGTCTTTAAGGTATACATTAAAAATCTACTTATTTTCAGATGTCTTGGAAATTATTTGATGTTGAGGTTTCCCCAGAATTCTACCTATGTGTTTGATTAACATCAAGCTTTCGAAAGACATTCTTAAAGTACAAGGCATTCTCAAAGTACATCTTGATTGTACATGCGATTGGATACAAAGAGTATCCAATCGTAGCACAGGGAGAAGTATCAATAATTATAATATCAAGGGATTTGTTTTGCATTGCTCATTTTTTATTCTTTTTTCCAGTCTTCTCAACGCCATCAAGGTCATGAAGATAGAGAGAGAAGCATGGCAACTTCTGCTTTTACCAAATCTAAGGAAAAGATTGGTCGAGGCTGTCCCAAGAAAAGTGTTGACATGCTCAACCTTAAGAGGAGACCTCAGCAAGACAAACGGTTTTCATGTCAAGGTATTGTTTGCAAATTTTCGCAAGAAAAACACTTTGGCTTTCTGAAGCAGATCGAAAATGGGCTTGAGAAAGAGAACAGTAGAGACAGCAAGCAAGATATATTTTTCCATTTTGATCGCATATCATCAGGTGGCCTGCTATTAAAAAGGAATGATGAAATTATGTATTCTTTGTGCAAGAAAAATAGCGACAAAGGCCCATCAGTTTTCCGAGGGGTTTTATCTAAAGTCGCACGGAGAAGCCCTTCTGAAATAGCTAAATATATACAGAAGGTGAAATCTGTTTTCTCTGACGAGGAAGCTCGATCAAATGCTGAATCAAGACTGACGTTCTTGACCAGCCCAGCAGCCTGGGAATGTGTGGCTGACGAAGCTGGCTTTGACAACGTCTTAGACTTGCTGCAGGTTGTTGTTTTATTGGATAAAAAAGCTCGGGACTTGGGTGCACATTTGAAGAGAGTTATCAATTCCATTGCTCATTCAAGCCTTTTGAATGGAGAAAACAGCCCTTTGAAACCCCTTTTGCTCAGCAGTGTCAGTGAGTGTGACCTTGAAACTTTGCAGAATTTCTTTGTGATTATGATAAAGTATGTGCCAGAAAAAACAAGAGCCGTTGTCCATTTAACTGAGCCATTCTCTAAAATGGCTCAAGGCTCAAGCATCTTGTACAAGCTTCTGCAGACAATCTCTGCACAGGTTGACGCCCCCATAACTGATATGGAATGGAAGGATATTCCACTTTTCCTAACTGACGAAGAACTTGCAGAGAAGAAAGGGAATCATTTCCTTCAGCTACAACCAATGATATGCAAAGGCAAGTACAATAGTGCTGATGAGTACGTAGAAATCCTATTCAGGCTGTTAAGAGAAGACTGTTTTAATTCTCTAAAAGAGGGAATACAGAAATTGCTCGACGGGTCTCTTGACAAAAGAGATATGGACGTTTATCATGGTGTGAGGGTAGTTGGTATTAATGCTAGCAGTCATAGTGGATTTTATCTGGCTGTAAAACTGGGGTAAGGTCATTTCTTTTCTCAATTTGTGTTCCATCCCTTTCAGAAATCTACTCACGCTTTCCTTTAAGCTGAAATAGACACCTAGTTTAAATGTTTAAATTGACAGTCTTTTTTTCATGGTCTTTCAGTGTTAAGATTGTGAAGAGTGATTATCCCTAAGTTTTTTATATTGGACAGCGACTCATAATGTTCTGTTAGGGCAGTAGCAATATCTGTAACTATATAGGCAATGGGCATGTTGAAAACAGGAGAAAAGATCATGTGTTAAACCATGGTATCAAAAATTAAGGAAGGCGCATTGAAGTAGAACAAGATTGTCAGAGGTACTTGACACCGACTCTGCATATCGGTCGCTGATATAAGATTCCGTCTGATCTATGTGTTATGCTTAAAATAAGTCAATTTTTCAGCAGTCACCCTTAAATTGATTTCGCATTTAATCAGGTAAATTGGAGTCATTAATAGCTACAACGTTTTCAACGATTGATTCAAGTTTGGTTTAAACCAAAAATCGAACACAACCAAAAAGACTTTTCAATAGACGAATTCGTTGAAATTGATCGTCGAGAATGATGATGACCATGTATACTGTTAAAATTTTAGGGAATGTTTCAATTTTATGTCTGCATACATTCCTTCAGTAAAGGGAAAACCCAGAAACTTCATTATTATGATTATCAATACGATCATACTCATCACACTAATGAATATTATTCATTCAACAGCCTATTCTCTATCTAAAAACGTATTTTTAGAGTATTTGTTTAGAAATACCTTGCCAAAAGACAAGTTTTTCTGTTTAACGAAGAAAGTTTTATTTCTTTTGAGGATACAAAGGAGGGTGTTGAAAATTGTAGTAATTGACGTAAATTTGTACTCATTATTTCTTTTAAGGAAATTAAGCAAGAAAATTGAATGGAAGAAGTCAAAAAAGCTGATGTATGGCAATCTTCTTTGTCTGTCCATGAACAACCGTTTTGATGACGTAGTATGGACAACTGTTGCTTCCAGGGAGCTTCTAGAATCGCAGCAAATTGTTTCCGTTCAGCTTTGCAGTGAATTGAATTGTTTCACAGATTCTGAAGGTGTCAAGATTTTGTCTTTATTTCAAGGAGAGGGTGTTGCTGTTGAGTCACCCACTTACTACAGGGCCTATGCTCCAGTTCTGAAGGCCCTACAAAAGCTGGAAACGGACCATATTTCCTTCAAAGATGAGCTTGTGTACTTAAAACAACAAGGAAAACCTGATTTTCTTAAAGATTCTGCAAAGTTTGACCCATGTTTGGTATTGTCTGAAATAGGTTATCAAGACGAGGGATTGCCTTTAGCACACCTTACTACGGGTATTCTTCGTGGCAAAACGATTTTTGATGACAGCCAAGAAAAGGCCATTGCCGCGAGTCTGCGTCACAGGATAGGTATTATTCAGGGACCACCTGGAACAGGAAAAACCTTTATTGGCGTCAAATTGACTTTGTTGCTTTTGTCTCTATCTTCAAAGCCTCGTGGCCCAATTTTGATGCTAACATACAAAAATCATGCTTTAGATGAATTTTTAAAAGCATTGATTAAAGAAGGATGCAAGAACGTCGTGAGAGTAGGGGGTGGAACAAAAGACCCTGAGCTCCATGACTATAATTTGGCTTCATTAGAAAAGGAAGAGCTGAAAAATGGTGCAGTAAGTGGGCAAATGATGCAGCTGGGAGACGAACTGCTTGATGCTGAAAAGGAGCTAAGGCGTGCTTTCTTAAAGCTGAAAGAAGCAAAGAAATTTACCGTCGATTCTTTTTTATCCTTTGTAAATGGAGAACAGTTGAAGAGATTTTTGCTCAATTACCCTCGTGCAACTGCTGGTGAGATTTTTGTGCAGCTTCCCGGTGAAGTGAAAGGTTTAACAGGCACACAGCTCAAATCTGCAGTGGAGTCAAGCGAAGATTTCAAGAAAGTTGTTAGAAAGGCTTTAGATGTATGGACCCCACCACAAGAGAGAGTGCTTCAGTTTGCAAGAAGCGTAGAGACTGTTTTGAACTGGATGTCGCATGACTCTGCTCTAGATACTGTTGAAGATTCTGGAGATGATTCTGGAGATGATTCTGAAGATCTGAATGAAAGTGGAGATGAAGAGGATGTCACATGTCTGCTTTCCGAACGACAAATGGACGACGGAGATGTAGCTCAAAAAAGTCAGTATTCGTATTTTGATACAGGTACAAAGGCTATCCAGCTATTTGATGGTGCGACAGAGATACTAAAAAGCATACCAGAAGAGCTTTCTAACAAGATTGCTGATATGTGGAAAGTGAAGGAAGCAGACAGAATTAAACTCATTCAAATTATGATTGCAAGAAATTTTGAAAAATGTGGCAAAGAATTCAACGAAAAGCTGTTAGCTTATGAACAGAAATGCAAAGAATATAATGAACTGAAGAGCCAATATAGAGCTATGATTTTGGAGAAGAAATCGGTCGTTGCTATGACAATAACTGGTGCCAGTATCAATTCAACCCTTCTTGAGCAATTGAAGCCAAGCATAGTAATTGTTGAAGAAGCTGCAGAACTATTAGAGGCACAGCTCATTGCCGCACTTGGTAGCTGGACAGAGCAACTCATTTTGATTGGCGATCATAAGCAACTTCGACCGTCTGTTGAGACATATTCTTTGGAAAAAGACTATAACATGGGAATCTCTTTAATGGAAAGACTGATAATGAATGAATTCAGTTATGCAACACTCTTAAAGCAGAATCGGATGCGACCAGAATTTGCCGAAATGCTCAAGGATATCTACCCTAACCTTGAAAGCAATATAGATAGAGTTGGAAAGAACGAGCCAACGAAATGTCTTGCAAGCTCCATGTTTTTTTGGCACCACACGGACAAAGAAACTGACGCAAGAAGCTACTTCAATGAAAAAGAGGCTGACAGAGCAGTCAAACTTGCGATGTTTCTAGTACAGCAAGGTGTTTTACCGTCACGAATCACAATATTGTCGGCATATCAAGGGCAAACCAGTGTGATACGAAAGAAGTTGCAAGAACTACGCTCTAAACTGGACCTAGACAGAAATAAAGCCATTATTGCCCATACTATTGATAACTATCAAGGAGATGAAAATGACTTTGTCATTGTCTCGCTCGTTCGCTCAAATGATAAAGCGAGGATTGGTTTCCTAGGATTAATCAACAGGAGATGCGTTGCCCAATCAAGATCTCGCTGTGGTTTGTACTTCATTGGCAATTACAAAATGTTTGTGAAGTCATCCAGCTGGTCCTTTTTATTGAAAAAAATGCAAGAAAACGAACAAATTGGTTTAGCAGTGACTTTGGTGTGTCCCAAACACTCTCTATCAACAAAGAAAGCATTCACTGCAGATGATATAGATCTTGGCACATTCTGCTCCTATCCATGCCACTCACCACTTGCCTGTGGACATCTGTGCACCAAATGTTGTCAGCCTCCTCACCAGCATGATACTTGCTTAAAAAACTGTCCACTAACCTGTGAGCGCTGTAATAAAATTTGCAAGCAGCACTGTCGACCGCTACATCACCATGTCAGTTGTGACAGTTTGATTTTGAAGACTCTGCTTTGTGGACATGAGGCGACCATGGCTTGCTCCGATGATGCGTCGATTGCTTCTTGCACAATAGAAGTGAAATTCATCATGCGCCCTTGCAACCACAGTCAAGTGAGGAAGTGTTTTGAGAAGGAGGAGAATATTAAATGTAGCTTTGCTTGCCCAAAACAAAGGGAATGTGGTCATCAATGTAAGAAAAAGTGTGGTGAGGATTGCAGTCAAGGCGAATGCTTTCAATGCAAACAGATACAGCTGACTAAAGCAAAGGTGGAAGAGGAGCGTCAACAGGCTGTTAGAAAGGAATTGATTGACGAGGAGAAGAAAATAATAGATGACCTTTTGAAAAATTGGCAAAAGGAGCCTAATCGGACGGAAATAGTACCGTCAGGCGAGACTGCTGCTGAATACTTTATGGTAGAAGACAAAGTAAAAAAGTACATTCAGCCAGGTCATTCTTGGTTTCCAGTCGTAAAGAAAATAGAGAAAGTCAGCAATTACGAGCTCGAGAAACGATGGCGCAAAGCAAAGTGTGACATGCATGACTTCGAGTTTAAAACAGACCTAAAATTCCACGGTACAGATGAAAAAGCAATAGAGGGAATAATAAATCAAGGCTTTCGTCTGCCTCAAAAATGTGGAATGTATGGTAAAGGTATTTACTTTGCAACAGATTCCTCAAAGAGTGCGCAAAAGGTCTACACGAAGGGATCAAACATGCTTCTGCTATGTGATGTTTTGATCGGAAGAACACTAACTGTTGAGACGGCAAGCAGAGGCATGACGCTAAAACAGCTGAATCAACAGAAGTTCGACTCATTATTTGCCAAGCGGGATACCAGAAAACAGGGGGGCGTTCTTTACGACGAATTTGTAGTTTACAAAGCGGAGCAGGCTTTGCCAAAGTACGTTATACATTACGAACAGGAGTCTTTGATGAAGCAGATCAGTCTTCCTACAGCAGCAAGTGGTCAGACATTGATGAAACACCGTTTGAATATTTCGCGATCTGTTGACACAACTGACCCGCTTGAAATTCATTATCGCATTGCAGAGTCGCAGTTCTTCAGATTACTGCAAAGATCAGGATTGAGAAGAAGAATCTCTTCCATAGACTTCTTCACAAATCCAAAACTCGATGACAAGTTTAAAGCCAAACAAAAAGCGCTCAAGAGTAAAAATGATCCGAGTGATTACATCTTTGCATTTCATGGCACCAAAGAAGAAAATGTTGAAAAGATTATGAAAGACAACTTTCGAATGGACTTAATTGCAAAGAATACGGGAAACCCTGGGCAGTATGGTATCGGTATATACTTTTCAGAAGAACCAGATGTATGTTTTCATTATGATGAAGCGCTGCTACTGTGCAAAGTTCTTCCTGGAAAGTGTTATGATGTAGCCACAGAAGATGTAAAAGGAAAACCGTTGAAGAAGGACTTTGATTCGCATGGAGCCCTTAAATGCCAGGACGGCTATTATAAGATCGTGGTAGTTGCTAATGAAGACCAAATTTTGCCTTGCTATTACATAAACAGTACAAAGGAAAAATGAGAAATCTGATTCAACACAACTAGAGAAACTAGAAACACTGTTATTCAAACCAATGATATAAATTGAACCTTGTCTTCAGTTTTTGACTTAAAATATGCAGAGAGTAATAAGTTTCAGCTTTGTCTAGAATAGCTATTTTTAGCTTTATCTGAAAACTTACATATTTCTTAATTTTTGTGGAATTGTACTTCTGAGCTTTGTAGAATTGTACATCTTTAATTTGGTCAGCTTTGATACTTTTCAAAGTTGGAGTTAAATTCATCCAACAATTTCTTCGTAGGTTGTTCGACTTAAAAGCAGGGCGAAACAGCTCTTTATCAATTTCATCGTTGTTTAAGTTAAAGTTTGGTTAAAGTACGATTTTTTAGATATTAATGTTAACATTTTAGTGAAAGGCTTTTGAATTGTTGCTGTGATAATTGTTTGGATTATAGTTGCGTGTTTATTGTTATTTTTTGGTAGGTTATGCTTAACAGCTCACAAGATGCAGTTGTTACTGTAATTCAATATTAGATGATGGATTGCAAACAATTGTAACTGACTATCCAAAATCCACCCATATCATTCTAAAATTCACTCCTAAGATTTATCCAATGACGCATATTAAAACGTTGTTTGATAAAAAATCAGAAGCTAAAACAATTGCAGCTGATGATAGAATTATCCCCAAATATGGACGTTAAAGGAAATAGAAAGGCTGTCTCTCAGCTTTTGATGCAAGTGCCCACCATCATTATTTGTTTTTTATTTTTTTAGATCATAACGACCTCATATATCAGGCTTCTTTAGATAGGTTCTACATAATGTTAACCTGTTCAGAATGTTGCGTCTTTTTTGCTGAAAACCTGTCAAAAATTAGCTAACTTTTGCCTTTATAATCTGAATCACATTTACGGATGCTTTCCATAGGGTATCATTTCTCAGATTTAGGGAAAAGGGGGCTCAGCCACGAGTTGCTTGCCAATGCCATTGTTCTACAAATATGATATTATAAGGTATCTTTTAAGTGGTCCTGTTTCGTCGTCTGCAGCTGTATCTATACTTTTCATGGTAATGATTCAGTAATGAGAGTTTGAATGTAGGGATACTTGTGAAAGGGCGATGACAAATTTTCCCTTTTAGATTTGAAAGTAAATTTCTGACATCTATCAAGAAATGTAGATTGTAGATAGTATGTTTGCATTTCTAGAATATTACGCTAAAAATCATACATTTAAGGAACAGAGATGAACATACGATTTATGACCAAGCATGAAAACCACATAAAGAATATTTTTTTCAAAGCAGAATAGAAAACGGATATTCAATAGACGTACTTGACAAGAGACACATATTCCTTGCGGTTGGCTGGTCAATTGAGTTCGTTCGTGCATGCCGTCTTTTATGTAAGCTATATATTAAGTTGTTCATAAGGGCTTTGGGTGATTTCCAAAACAACGCGCTCAGTCCGACTTCAAATGTTGAATTTACATGGGTAAGTAAAAATTATTTGGTTTTATTAGCCGTTATATTTGACATAAACTCGTTTGCACGATAAATTTTAACCTTTGCCCATAATTGTTTGATACCAAAATATCAAATTAGTTGCTTTTGGAAAACAAGATAATTATTATTTTATGTACAGAGTTTGAGAAATCCCCTAAAATGTAAAATATAATGCTTGCTGATATATATTGTTTAGCAACAATATGGATGTGACCTTGATCATAGTACCAGTACCTAGCCAAGATACTTGCGGTGTAAAACCCAAGTCAGAAGGGGGGAATGGACTTGAAGAAATCGAGTGCTGAAATCGCTTTTCGTCCCGGTGCCAAAACACAAGTTCACAGTAAATTATTTGTAAATGTTTTGCAGATTCATGGGCGTCTTGGGTTCTCTTGGTTGCAGTTGCTGTGATTGGGTTGGACGCAGCCATGTTGGTCGGGTTCATGTTTTACACAGTCTTGAGATGGTATCGTTACAAAAAAACAAATAAAATCATCAAGGAAGAAGAATTCATAAACTATGATGACACCGTAGTAATCAAAACTGAAAAAGTTCCCGTCATATTTGAGTGTTCTTCGGAAATTGGTTTGACAGATTTCAAAATACCGAGTTCTGTTGCCACCATGCCGAAACCAACAGACTGCACACCGGAAGATGTTCAGATTTCGATGTACACACCAAGCGAGGATTGTTTGGATGTGGATATAAAGAAAAACGAGGTAAATCAGAAATACACTCATCCTTTTATAAGAAACAAAGGTCGATGTTGAGTACTCCAGTTTCTTAATATTCTGGAAATTTCGATACTCCTTGTTTCTTAAGAGTTTCTTAATTTTGATGTCATGAATGATGTTTCAGGGCCCGCGCCACGAATTTGAAAGTGGGTGGCCAAGGCTAGAGAAAGTGGATGGCGAAGACTTCGTACCCCTTTTACTGCGGCTTTGAAACTACTTGCTTCGCAAAAAAGTGGGGGTTATGGCCATCCCGGCCCCCACTGTGGCCACTTTTTTCACGTCAAGAGATTCACTTTCGTTCTAACAGGCACGTAAATAATAGGGGGGCGTGGGGAGCGTGACGCCCCCCAAAGGTTGGAAAATCCAATTGCAGTTGGAAAACTTAAAAGTTCACTTGGAATTTTTTCTAACTATTATGACCAAATATGTGAAATTTTATAGCTTAGGATTTTGGGATTTTAAATGTAAGAATCTTAGATCTTGTTAAAATTTAAACTCTGGAGCAGGCACATCTTCTAATCGTTTTTAATTGCAAAGATCTGTCTCCACTGGATCTCAAATTGCACCATTGCATCGTTTGTTTCATTTTTGACAGGGGTTAAGTTGAATTAACTTATTTTGAATAGGCAAGGTGAATTTCTGGATAAGAGGTTTAGATTTTACCATCATTATTGATTGAGCCTGAAGTTTTGAAAATCATTCCCTGTATTGATCAGAACAATTGAAAGTGGGACTTTTTAAAGAAACAATGAGTAAAGTGGGACTTTCAAAAATAAAGGACATTGAGACCTTTGAAAATTGCAAAAATTTCCTTCGATCAAGAACAAAAGATGAAATAGTCAATTCCTTGATGCTTCTATACTTTTAAAAAGATATTTTATATAAAACTGATCTGCAGCAAATAGCTTTAAGATGGGCAAAGCAGAAAATGAACAGAATTGCTGTTAATTGACTTGAAAGAATATTACTTTTTATCACTAAACATATCCAAGATCTAGACTGGTATGGCTTTGATGCTGCTTTATATCTTACGAAAAGATTAAATGTTTCTGTTACGTTAATCAAAATTTAGAGATTTCCTTTACCTTCTTTTGTGTTTTATGCTTAAGACTAATTATTATAAGTAAAATGTTGGTAATTATACAGAGCCTAAAAATCTGGAATAAGGTTGTCTCCAAATCAATTTAGTAGGTATAGAAGATTAACAAGTCGAAAGAAAAAATTCATCAGGTAAAGTTGCATATAAGTACCTTGAGGTAAATTTTCAACCTTCCACGACCCCCCAAAATTAGCCACTTTTTTACGTCCCTGCGTTCTAATGCTGTATTTAGATGTGGGAAGTATATTTTTATCCCATATCATGTTCTAGGGCAATCATGTTCTTGGATTTTAAAAAAAGTTCGTTGTTCTCAGTTTTATCACGATTTAATAGTTTCTTAATATTTTTGCTTCGAGTACTGAAGTTTCCTATTTTTTCTGACTGTCCAGTACTCGTTTCTTATAGCCAGTTTCTTATAAAAAATTGATGTAGTGCAGTACGTCGGAGTCACTAAAACAATAGACCTTTTCAACGTTCACCTTTTACGAACTCTCGCCAGCAACTTCTACCATACACCCCATCTTATAATGCTGGGGGAAAGGAAAAATGCCCAGGTCACCTCGTCAGGCAATTTCTTAACGTAGTTTAAGGTAACGTTACAAGAGAAAAGGGGCCATGAAGAAGAAATGATTCGATTTTCAGTCATCAACACAATATATTTTTTAAATGTCAGTTTTTTTCTTGACAAAGTAGTAAACCGTTCGATACACATTTTACATGTTCGCATAAGGCATGATTTTTTATCATGATACCTTATCAATATGTAGTTATATTGTTTAATTAGAAATCATTATAATTCATAGTTGCAAGTGAACAAATTGCTTAAAATTGCAGGAAAAGGCGAAACCGAAACTGTCATTCTCCTTACATTTCGATGCAGATTCTGAAGAATTGACCGTTTCTTTGATTCGTGCAAGATTCATTACTACACAGGGATCCAAATTCGAAGAATCAAACCAACACATCACTATAAGTGTTGTGATCGTGCCGGATGGAACAATTCACCACTCTTCACAAGGCATTGCTCCGAATCCTCTCTTCAAGAACAAATTCATTTTCAGCATCAAAGGAACAGAGCTGCAGCAATCTAAGCTAAAATTCAACGTCTGGATGATTGACAAGTACTCGAGAAAAATGCCTTTCGGTGAAAGTGTCGTTGAATTAGAGAGAATATTCAAAAGTCGACCGATAACAACACACGGTATTGAAGGTGTTTGGTGGGAAATAGAGTCCAAGGACGAGCTTGTAAGCTAGTTACCATTTGTGAATAACGTTGCACTTAATGGCTCATTGAGTCCATAAACCTGAAGGATAACAGGCTCTTCAAAAGTCTTCATTTTCTTCTAACGGTATGACTATAGAACAAATAAATTGAGAGGCTGGAAAAGTCGTACTGGGACGGGTCGAACAGGGCCCATGCCACGAATTTGAAAGTGGGGGTGGGGGTCAAAGGTAGCAAAGGTAGGGGCCAAGGCTTCTTTCCCCTTTTTTGCAGCTTTAAAACTACTTGCTTCGCAAAAAAGTGGGGGGTGGGGAATGGCCCCTCTGATTGCGTGGGCCCTGTGGAAAGTTCTCCAGAAACCAATAAGAGAGGGGGGGGGGCAAAATAAGAAGAGGTGGAGAGAGAGAATGTGTGTGTGTTGAAAAAAGGGTTTCTATGCGAGAGAATCAGAAAGCTTTAGAAACCTTTCACGTCATGCGAGTGTGTCTAGAGAGTCATTAGATTACTTTTCCCTTTTTTAAATAGTTTTAAAAATGGTTTTCATTAACCCTGTTCTTGACACTTTCCGTGCGACGTAATATGCAAGTGCTTCAAGAGATTCAAGGCAGAAATTCGTTTAGTTTTTGTTCATAAGTTGTTTCATAGATTCTAGAAACTTTTGTTTATTGCTTTGGCAGTGGTGACCTTCCAGGGGAGATGCGCATGTCATGCTGGTTATAGGCTTCTCGTTTTATGCTGGATTCATGGTTCTTTATGTATGGCTTTGTTACGAAGAAATTGTTTCTTTATTTTGCATTCAAGTTCAGTTGGGTTTGGGAATTTCTTTTTTAACCAACCAATAATAAATAGAAATAACATATAACTGGTTACACTACTATCAAAGCGACTATACTACACTGGTACGACGATACCATAAGGAGCACAAGGCTGTGTCAACATGCGGCAATGTAAAGGTTAGCAACAAGTAAATATGAAACAGAAAAACCAAACAATTGACGTAGCCACTCTGCAAAGATAACACTAAATTCCATCACTGGCTGCAGCAACTAACTTTGAATAGTATCATCAGGACCGGTTTCTATAGGGGTGTGACAACCCCTCAAAAGAACATTCTGTTGCAAAAACGAGGAGTTTTTTGCCTTCTATGGGTGCTTAGTTGGCAAATCTTAAACTTGTCGGCAAATAAAGGATGGTTCATCCATTTGTCGCGAAAATGGGACCTGAAAACCCCCTTGGTCACCATAGCTAGAGATGAACCTGAGTTTCATTTTATTCAGAACGCATTATTGCTTATAGGTATCTTAAGGTCGCTTTAAACATTTCTGAATTAATATGATTCGACACGACAAATAAAATAGGGTGATGGCCATATTCCTTGAGATACCCAAAGATCTATCTAATCATTCTAGTCTATATTTATTCTACCTGAAAGCACGCAATAATTGTATTGGATGTCACTTCCTTTTTTTGAATCGGGTAAGGGATGGTTGTTTTGGCAATGAGAGTGGAAATGCTTTTTTCGGTTTTTTAGGCGAATGAAACTGCACACGGTGAACTGTTAGTGTCTCTTCAGCATCTTCCTGGTGCAGAGAAAATCAACATTAACGTGATGAAGGGAAGAGATTTAAAGTTTGAAGAATTTGATAAAGGTGAGTTTCTAGTTTCCATAGTCTTCCTGCTATCATTTGAATGGTTTGAGGTAAATTACATCTTTATATTTTCTATAGACTTTTCGACTTCTGTTAACAAATTAGGTTTTATCAAATGCAATAGGTTATAAATAGCAAGAGCAGAGCAAATCGAGCAGATTATTTCAAAACTATAAGGATACCATACCTAGTCTGGTGGATAATGTTTCTGATCGATATGATCAAGAAACCATCCATCATTTTGATAATAATCATTTTCCCTAGACATATACATCAAAGTCTCGGCATTGACGAATGGAAAGATATGCAAAAACAAAAAAACTTCGTCAGTGAAAAAAACAGCTAACCCAATTTTCAACGAGACGACGTCATTTTCCCTAAGTCCTAAGTCGCCCTTGACGGTAGACAATATGGTTGTCATATTGTCAGTGTATGCATACCGGTCACGCGGTCCGCACAAGCGTCTTCTTGGAAGGCTCTACGTTGGAGAATCGGAAAATGCGAGCAAATTGGGGAAGGAACATTGGCACAAAATGGTGGAAAATCCATCAAAAATGATTGCTGAATGGCAGCATTTGCATTGAATTTCTTCCAGACACAAGACTCTCGTGTGAAACTGCGTCATTTCAAAGTAAATTTTTGATTTCTTTTGTTATATTCGGGTAACGATAAATTTTTAATGAAAAGTCAGAAACCTATTTCTAAAGGTTGAATATAAATGGTGACGTTTGTGCAGAGGACCTGTAAGAAAACTCTTGTATATAAGTGCCAACCTATCACATCATGGTAGTGTCACTGTCCGACCCTGCCCTGCCTTGTCCTTTTTTCTGTCCTGTCCTGTCCTGTCCTTTTTTCTGTCCTGTCCTGTCATTTTTTCTGTCCTGTCCTTTTTCCTGTCCTGTCCATTCCTTTTTTTCTGTCCTGTCCTCCTTTTTTTCTGTCTTGTCATGTCTATTTTTCTTTCCTGTCTTGTCTTTTTTCTTTCCTGTCATGTCCTTTTTCTTTCCTGTCATGTCCTTTTTCTTTCCTGTCCTGTCCTGTCCTGTCCTGTCCTGTCCTGTCCTGTCCTGTCCTGACCTGACCTGACCTGACCTGACCTGACCTGACTTCCATGAATCGCCCTGACCTGTCCTTCCATGAACTGTCCTTTTATGATCTGTCCATTCATGAGCTGTCCCGTTAAGACCTGTCCTTTAATGAATTTGGCCAGCCGCAAGCTTTAAGCAAAGGCTCGACCTTCATCTGAAGTTAGTCACTTGGGTACACGCAGATCATCTCCCTAGAACCACTATTCTCAATTTCATCGTTATTTACGTTACCAAATACGTATTTGGTACCAGGGCCTCTATGAAAAAGGGGGAAGCAAAACGGAGAAATCGATACGCCTCCACAGTTTTGCCTTTTACTCCCTGCGTCACAGCCTGCGTCAGTAGAGAGAGAGTTTTGAAGATGGCGTGTCATTTTTTCTAGATTTTAAATACTTAATCCGTTCTCATTTTTTGGTACTGTTTTTGATTATGGTTTTTATACCTTTCGATGCAATTGATATTACATTATTTCTACCTTGAATATAAAAACAAGTAGATTTATTTCAAGTAGTATTTCTTGCACTGGAACCTGGCAATAGCATGTACCATAAACGCTAGGAATTTAAAGAGAACGTTCTCCATTAAGCTGATTACTTGTTTGGTATTCGGCAATGGAATTGGGCAAAACTTGTAATGACCGAAACCTTACCCTAAAGCAGATCATCGAAAATAGACAGTCAACAAAAGCAAAAAAAATGAAGACATTAGATGACAATTAATAACAAATAATGAATGAAACTGGTAGCAAATTAACTGTGAAAATTAAAACTGCTCTCAAACTAAAATTACTAAATTCATACAAAAGCCGGTGAAAATGCATCATGCTATTTGTACCTGAGTCCCTCATAAGCACTTAAAACTTTTATCAAAAAATCCAAGGAATGAAGAATATGAATAAAGTTTTTTGTCTAACCCAAAGTTAAACGTGAAAATCTTCATCATATCATCGATCATTATTGAGGTAGCTTGCGTCATCCAAACCCTTAAAAAATGGATGATTCTTATCATGATTGTCTACTGATCTTTTTATCAAAAAGTTTCTAATTATCATTGCCTACTGAAGGCTAGGACGTCTTCTGGGTGAACTGCAAAAACACAAGATGAGCATCGTAATGACGACACCAATAAAGGATCCCCCTTAATTAAAATAGCAGCGTTGCTTCAGTTATATAAAAGTCCTTTGGATACTTAGTCAGAATATCTTCCAAGGAACCGTACAAAGCATTCATGAATTTTAACCACTGGTGAAAAGGCTGTCTTAAATAAGGTAGATCGTAAAGAAAAAGGTAGATCGACAAAATATTATTATGATCTGCGTAAAAAGGTTGGTACTCTATGTATACCGCCATAACATTAAGAGACGCTGCAGATAGAAGCTTCTCAGAAAATCAATCGGTGCCATTGTGCTACGGCAGTTCTGCTATAAGTGATCATCTCTTTCCAGTGCAGTATACCTTCCTCTGTTGTGTTGGGGCCTATTTTTGCTTCACCAAGAACAAATTCTTCATCGGTTAAAGTTCTTGCCTTTATACTTATATTAATTGAAACATTGTTTTTGGTCAAGTGTTTATTTGTCATCGATGGCCCGAAGGCCAACATTTCATTGAATGTAACATTGTCAGATTTTTCCACGCACTTTGTATTTTGCTGGCTGATTAGATTTGCGTTAGCGCAAAGTGAAACAGCTACAAAGAGTTCTGAAAGAGAAACAAAATTGGTCATTTCAGCGGTTTCAAAAAAATGAAAACAGAATGATAGCGAAAACAACGCAAAACAGTAAGCCGTAAACGATAAATAAAATAATAAATAAAAGCAGTAAGCGAAGAAGCGGTAAGCGAAGTAGCGGTAAACGGGGAAGCGGTAAGCGAAGAAGCGGTAAGCAGTTAAGCAATTATCGATCCTAAGGCGGGAAGCAGTAAGCGACAAAGCTGCGTGCCAGGAAGCAGTAAGCAAGTAAACAGTAAGCGATTAAGCAATGAAGCAGTAAGCGGGAAAACTGTAAGCGGTTACAGAAAAAGAGTAAGCGATTACAGGAAAACAGTAAGCGATTAAGCAATGAAGCAGTAAGTAGAAAAATAGTAAGAGTGATAACTAGTCCTAATTACCTGTGACATCATCTTCAGTTGTCAAATCTCTGCATTTCAAAACTGCAACTATAAACTTGTCATCTTCCGCAGTATAGGAAAGCGAAATTAATATTTCTCCATTGTTTCTTGATGGTAGATCCTAAAAGAACATATCCGTGATTTTAAACACTAAACGTCATTTTAACTATGCAATTAAAAGACTGTTTTTATATCATATCTTTTATATTATATGTTTGTGTTGTGTTGTGTTGTGTTGTGTTGTGTTGTGTTGTGTTGTGTTGTGTTGTGTTGTGTTGTATTGTGTTGTGTTGTGTTGTGTTGTGTTGTGTTGTGTTGTGTTGATTTTACCAGCTTTTTGCAACGGAAGAGTAGTCTCTATTTGGTTAGCTGTATTCATTCTCAACATAAGGTCCTAGAGCATAAACCAGGGGATTGCAGACGGACGTCGAATGCTGGAGCAATAGGAAAATGGCACTTCTTTACTAAAATAATGCAGTTTAATTTGCCAAGCCGAACGCTCTGATCTTTCATATTCAAATAAATGCTTGTAAACTAAAGATGAAGGTAAAGGTAGAGTTAATTAAGGTAAAAGATTACAAGTGAGAATGCATATACCTTGTCTGGGTTAAGATTAATTTCCCTAGTCAGGGGTCCAGTACCACTAGGCCGTAGCAAGCTATCCACGAAGTTAACTAGAGGAACCCTTATGAAGCCGACCAAAGCTTTAAACATGTTTAGATCTGAGTCCCATATTGTGAAATGCAGCACAGCTACTCCAAGCGAATCTTCCTGCAATCTAAATGAAACTACTTCGTCGAATTCAGGGTTTGGTGTATCATCTGGTGATGACTGTCTCTCGTCTTCTATCGCATCGTTAATTCGCAGTTTTACGACTGGTAATCTCGCTAATTCACCACTTGGTAGTGTAATCTGACGGCCATTGATGAGATGTACATGAAGCAACTCAGTTTCCCTCACGTACTTTAGTGCGAATGTTAGACGTCCCTGGCCTAACAGTACTGCGCTATCAGGACGTGGCTTTCGCCGGTATTGTTGCTTTTCGATTTCAGAAATGTGAAGGATTGGTAGTTTCGGTGACGTCGACTTGGCTTCGCCTTTTATTGATTTTTTAAATTTACCCAAAAATAGACGACTGCCGCTTGAACGTGTTTGAGCGTCAACCTCGCTACTTCTGCCGACGTCACTGTTATTATGCGTCACTGTCTCGGGGACTCGTCGCAGTCTTCTGAACCTTTCGTAGCAGTTGAAAATGTTGTACAAATAGCATGTGACCAGGGAAATGATCACCAAGCAGACGCTCAGGACAATCAGCAGGACTAAGAGAACGACTCCAAAGGTACCTACAACGAAATATCAAACAATGAGCAATCACAGCAATCAGAATTGATGCCACCAGACACAGAGGAGCTTCGCAGATCTGATCGCTGTTTACGGTTCTATGTAATAAAAAATCCAGTATCCATCCTGTTCAATCGCTAATTCTATGTCTTTTATGTCGATGGAGTAGGTGGCGTTTGTGAAGAACTTCTGACCGGTTTTCGCAATCTCCAAGAAAATGAATAAAGAAAATTTGTCTCTCAGCCTTGCTTTCAGCTAATAAAAAAATGTGTTGCAAGTTGAAATGCGAGCCGAAGAGGGGCGAAATATTTGGCAGGGATAATTTGAGGTGGGCTACTAAGAAGACGGATCTGTCGCAGATTGACCGTACAAAATTGGATTCGGGCAAACTAAAGGGCGCGGTTTTAAGGACCCATTCTATTAAATGTTTGTTGGATTCCATTTGAAATAACGACTTTCTCTTTGCAGTTTAAAAAACAAGCATATGAAAATTTTGCAGATGACACGACACTGTTTACAGTTGACAAGCATTTGTTGCTAGAATGTTACTAGGATCGAAAAGGTTGATCTGTGTATAGTTTGTTGTAATTCGCTAAAGTCTATCAACATATCAACAGCATAAAACAGAGAATACAAAAAACTTAATCCGAATCGTTTAGAAACAAGTGTACGGATAGAATAAATTTCATTTGCTTGCGCTTGGGAAAAACGCCGAAAAATCAAAGAAAGGAATGAAATGATTGCTCGTTGAGAAAGAAATAGTATGAAGTTGCTTGGTTAAAAATAAAACAAAAAATTGAAGCATTAAAACCCGTATAGAGGCCATAGGTAAAGAAGCAAACCAAAAAGTCAACAAACAGAAAGCATAGAATCTAAAGATAAGCGAATGAGGGCAATAATAAAAGGCTGATGAGAATATTTGAAATTTTACGGTTTACCATCTATACATGAGTCTCGATGTTCCTTCATGCTATACAAATATTGAAATGAGTAATATTAATGAAAGGGCATTAGACGTATATAAAAGACATCAGGGTTTACAGAAATACGAGAGAAGGACTTGTCTACTAGCATTCATGAAAGAAACTTAAATTCCTTACATTTGAATCTTTAAAAGGAATTTTATAAGGAAAATTAATTTAAACCATGGCTTCATTAAAAGTATTGCTTAGAAAACACCTCTAAATGATCAATGGAGAAACAAAGAAACCTTGAATTTGTCAATATTAAATAGGACAATAAATTGAATACAACAAGATACCAAAGAGGAAAACTTACGAAACTGCGACGACAAGGTTTACTGGACAAAGACTGTATGAACGACAAGTTACCTGACTTGATGACAATGAAAATCATTTCTAAGATTCAATAATAGCACAAAACAACCCAAAAATTGCGACTGCAGGCATAGGGATAACCGAGGACGGGATCCTTTAGTAGTTTCCTTGATTTAGAGTATCATAGTTATAATTAGAATTTTATCGTAATTAAAGCTAGAATTTTTATTGTAATTAATAAAATAGTTGGTCATAATTAGTAAATTACCAGGAAACTTTTAATGAAAATGATTATGACCAGTACCAGAAATTATAATTTTTATTACTATATAATTTACGTTGAAAACCAGCGCTAACCCAACTGATGAATTCTTACGCTACGGTTTACTTTGCTGGGATGTTTACTTTGTTGGGATATCACAATAATCCGGATTGCTACAGCTAAAAGCCAGCAGTTCTCTTAAGCAACCAGCCGCAGCCGACCAACCAGTGTTTCTGATTTCCAGTGAAATCTAATTTATGCACAACCTTCTGTGATGATCAATGATCAGCCTTCTGCGTCTTGCAGAAACGGGGCAGAAACACATCTGTGATGAACAAAGTTTCCTGAACACGTCTGTTTGTCTGGCATGTGCTCGTGTTGTACGAGAAGACAGAAATTAACGAGAACAAGGTCAATAGAACAACTTTTTGAGAAGTAGCACAACGGTGGTGAATTTTTCGAGTTTACTGTTTGAGTGATTCTCTCTGCCAATTTCTTCGCAAAAATATCATTTCGGCAAGGTATATTTTCAGAGACATTCATGATTCTTGATGTTCATGATTTTTTACTTTTACAGGCGAAATAGGCTCTGACACAAACTAGAAAGTGGGGAGGGGGCAAAGGCGAATTGAAGACTCACTGCAAAAACTGCAAAAAATTCGAGGGGCTATGACCTCCTGACCCAGTGGTGTGGAGCTAGGGGGCTCAAGGGGCTGCACCTCCTTGTTGATGCTGTAAATGGGCAAATTTCTACTTTTGCTATTGTTTTTCGCAACATTTTGTGCAAGAGCCCCCCTTATTATTTTGATAGCACTACAACGTTGGCCCGACCCCGTGGCCCCCATCTTTGGGGGCCGGAGTGGATGAAATTTTGGTCTTTTGGTATTGGTAAGGAAAAAAAACTTGATATGATGCCAACAATAATAAAAACCAGACGAATGTTATTACACGATGCACACTTCAACTAGTTAAAAACTTCTGTTATCAATGTGTCTCCTGTGCCCTATGCATCTGCTATTATACTGCAAATTACAAACAAAAATGAATAATAAAAATTGAAGAAAAAACCATAAGCTACAAAATCGAACAATAAACGTCTAAGTTAAGGATAAATATCGTACAAACTTCCTTGAGAATGATCTTTGATTTTCTCTTTGAATTCGCTGTAGCTTTCAATATTTTGAAATTCCAGCGGGGTATACCAACAAACAAACAAAAAACGATCTACAATCTCTTAGCTCTCAATGACAGGCGTAAGCCATTTGTTCCTGACTTCTTCTCAAATTTCAAAAACTTGAATATATTTTGTCATGGTAGAGGCCCAACGAATCAATGTCGCAATATTAAGGTCAGTTGAGGACAACATGCATTTGACATTCTTTGTTACATTGTAATTGTTACTATAAAGGCCCGGTTTCAAAAAAGGTTCACACAGTGTAAATAGAATAGAATAGAAATAGAATAGGTCTTGTTCTATACTTACCTTGATCTTGGAGCCTTGTCATTTTAGCAAACAAGAAACTGGATCAGCAGCGGCGTTTCGATGCTGGTTCCTTGTCTATTTAGGTAAGGGTACTCAATATCTTACCAGAAACCATAGCCAGAAGCCAAACTGTTGTCTGCACAACCTCGATTGTGTCATAACGCGGAAATCATTAGTTCCTCCAAAAGCCTTGCCTTCAACTTCTAGTTAAGTTAATGGGTCCTCACTTGAAATATCAATGTAATCGTCAATACTGCGGTGTAGCTATACTGATGTTATCATCCTGTCTGTTTCTGTTTGTTTTTAAATTATGTTACCCCGTTGTGTGTTCACGGAGGCGTCTTCAATTTCTTTTTGCTCCTCTCACGCGGTAAATTACCATAACAATAAGACGTCAATCTTTTCTTTTTTTCCCACCCACGAAAAGGAAGCTGCCCGTACTCTAACAAAAGCAGATATGACCAAGCCACATATAAAATTATAAGAATTTTGTTTCCGATGAGATTCTTTGAAAAGTATATGCTAAATCATCGTTGTCATAGAAATAAATTATTCAAGTAATTGTCATCGAAATTGTAGGTGAAATTGTTGCTGAGCATCGTATCTCATGCGAAACTCTGGGAAACAACTTCCGTTTCTGGATGGAAAACGAGGCTGATTGAATAAGCTCCCAGTTAGCAAATACGGAATGGTTTACAGAAGATCGAGTAAACAAAGGTAATTTCATTACATATTTAGATACTATTTTAGCGATGCATGACCTCTTTATCTTCCAGATGATTTTATTTTGCATTTTTATTTCAAAATTTCAAAGCTTCGCTGCAGTGTTGCGAGAGGTCATGGTACATAGATCATATCAGGGCAGTCGGGGGCCATCCCTGAATTGCGCTTTGTTTGAAGTTTTGACAAACTCAAAACTTTTTCTCAGCAATACAAAATTCAATCACAAGAATGCTTTTCTTAAATAGCACTAGTAACTACATTGCTATCTTACTAGCTTTGATTAATAAATTGATTATGATAGGACACCTGAGAAAACTAAAAGAGCTTTTGAGTCATGTGCCCTGTGACGTATTTTGATAATTTTTATAAGATAACAGCTTTGAAATTATGTTGACAGGCGGGAAGTGGCTGACTGAATTAATTCACAGAACTGTTGCCTACTTCTCTTCACTTTCTCAAGCCCCCTCCCCCCCCCCCTTTGAAATTCCTTATTATGAATTTTGTAACACCAAAATTGTCACAATAAAGGTCCAAATTGCCCATAAAATTTTAAATTCTTTCTATTTATTGATAGACATTCAGCGTTTTATGCTAATGCTTAAATGTTAGATATTCAGATGCTATCGGCCTTCAAACATTGTTTGCTCTCTACCCAAAGCAGCACCATGGTTGCCTCTGGTCGGAAAATTTTCGAATTTGGATGCTTCCAGATTACTAGAAAACAAACTTTTTGAACTAATTTGACTAATACAACCTTTTTCATAGATTAAATTCCACAGTTGGAAAGTTAGTGTTGGGGTCGTCAATATCAGGGTACCAAAAACCTGACACGTTTCAGGCCTCAGGCTGTTTGTATTTTTGTAGGTGAGCTGTGAATTGCTCTCCTCATTTGCTGAGGTGAGCTAAATCAATAACACATAGAAGGTACTTAATGACAGATGGCTTAAGCCCCTTTCGTATCTGTCAATTGCCTTTAAAAAGTCTTGAAGTCAAGGAGTATGCTCCTTTACTTCTTCCAATAATATTTGCTAAACTGTGAGTCAGGCACCCCCTTTGCTTAACCGTGACTCAGGTTTTAAAAACAACGGACTCATTTAGTTTGGTGTAAAGCTTGCACAACAATTAAAATAACAATTCTCTTACCAAACAATCTTTTTGTTGTACAGAATTTGAAAATGGCTTGAAAAACATGTTTTGAAACAAACTTAAGCTTTTCGTCTGACACTCTTCAGAGTACAAAACGTCAGAACAAAGATAGAAAACTCTATGCTAGGAAATATATATACCCAGTTGTAGATCGAAAAAGGCCAATCAGAAAATGAGAGCACATGACTGTTGAGGTTGCCCCGTGCTCCTTTCCTATTGAAAATGTTACCAACGGAGTCCTAAGGTGAAAACGAACTCCTTCTGTCTACACAAAAGCGATTTGTCATGTTTGTCAGGTTTGTCATATAGTAGATAGATTCACAAACTGCTAGATGGAACGATGATCAGGCTTTGCCAATAATCCCAAGCATGTTGCCCTTATAGTTTTTCGCCCAATCTGGGTTTTGCATGCATGTTTTGGTTGTCTTTTTTTATCTGCAAGACTGAGTAATCTGTTCTCTTTGATGGAGAGTTTTGTTTCTAATGCTGGAAGGAACCTGCTGTTTTATTATATCCCCCAATCTACAGTTCCTTCCAATTTCTTTGAATTTCCTACCAAGAATATACCTGTTTTCATAAGATTGAATGGTTCTAAACACTTTTGCTTCACTATCCTTTTCCAAATAGATTGAAGTTTGTGACTAAATATCATAACAAAAACCGGTGACAGGCAGAAATTAACTGCAAAAAAATGCAATGACGGGAGAAATCGTTGTTACCAAAATAAACCAATTAACCTTGTAAGGTTTTCAGGGTTCTCTGAATGCAAAAAGGGCAAACGAATGGAAATTTTAGGGGAGCAATTTTTTCTTCATCCAAGTTATTTATACAAAAGGGATAATGGAGAAGCACATAACAATAATCATGCAAATGATCAAGTGTCAATGCTTCCATGCAAGAAGTTCAACTGTCTTGCATTGAATGACAAAAGACAATTGAATCTAAGAAAAAGCAACAAGAAAAAGAACATTATAATTTCTGTCTAGTTTTAGAAACAAAACTCATCCCCAAAGAGAACAGCTATGATATTTTCCATATTATGCTTTTCTAAGGCAACACCAAACAACATAGCTCCATGCCAACATCTTCAGGTGGGCACAGTTTTTAAAATGTATGAATGTATAGAAATCTCAAAGTGTTGTCAAATTTAGCGGAAGGACCCAGATTATACTTGACAAACACAGCAACATCCTAAACACTTCTTTATGATAAACTACACTTTAGTGATAAGATAGCAAAAAGACCAAAAAATTCTTTATGAATGTTAAGCCGTTGTTTATGAATGTTTTTTGTTATGTGAGAAAGCAAGCATACATCAAGAAATGTCTGCAAGCATCTGAAAGTATTTGAATAGATACTCAAGAGAAGTGACTGATATGACATGTTTTGACACTCAAATTTGGCAGTAAAAGCTTACACAGCAATTGGCTATATAAAGAAACCAAAATACAACAAATCTTTAAGACCAGTGCAGTGATAACCAATTTATGTATAGGTAATTGGCAAAAGCATATTGATAATTCAAATTTTGCACAGTGATAAAGCTAAGATTAAGAGACTTTGTATTAATGAATAAAGAATAAAGAATGAACAACTATCAGTGGATGCCTTTATGAAGCTTATTGAAATTCATGACAATATTAAAAAGCAATGATGCTAGCCTACAATAAAAATGGTTATATTATATGGAATCTCTTGAAAATCATTCAATATCTAAAAGCTAGATTTTGGTTAATTTTTCCATTTCTTCTTTAAAATCTTTAAAACATGTTTAAACCAAAATACATTTTGCCAAAATTCCTTTTTTTATCTTTGATTTTCTTTAAAACATGCAATAAATCTCCAAGAAAGCATATGACCCTCAGCATTGAGCCACCATTTTCCGTTAGAGGTTTTCAAAATCTTTTGGTTTTTTCCACATCAGTTCTTTTATAATATGCATGTTTTTGCATGATAAATTATATTTAGCAAGAGATTTGAATTGTTTTCTTTTGTGAATATCTTACGTTTTCAGTGGTTTATAGATAATGCAAAATTTTTCACTATTTTTAATGTTTAGAGCAAACCAACAAAAAATGATGTATAATATGATGTCCTCTAGTTTGAAGGGGATGAGCATCAAAACGTTTTAAAGGCAATGCCCCGATTTTTAAAATATTCAAAATATGTACAGCGATAAAATCAGTACAATAAACCCTTAAAGATACTGATCCTTGGTTATTTAACCAAAGGTCTGCCTTCTGTTTGCCGATCAAATATATCTCACTTTGTCTAGAGATATACTCAAAAGTTAAGTCCTCCAAATGTAATTAAAGGTGTTTGAGAGAAACGGTGGTTCTTGCATCTCCTTCATTTGTTATATGGTAAAGATGACACACAGTAAAGATGGATCTTGCATTTTAGATTTCACTGAAGCTGGCTTACTGAAACCCACACCTGTGGATCCAAGTGAGTGTTCTTTTGAGTTTTCATAGTAAACAACCTTTTATAGTTGGCTCTATTTTTTGGTCACCTAGATTGGCAACTTTTTAGGAAAGAAGGCAAGAGGACACTCTTTGTTCAGCACATAATTATCTACTAGAGAATCATTTCATAAGGCTTTCTGGGTTACTAAAGACCTAGATTATAGAACTCACCCACCCCCCTCCCCCTATCAAACCTTGGATAACTACACATGTTGTAGTATATAAGTCAAGGTTCGAGACACATTTAACAAATTAGCAAGATAATTTGCAGTTTCGATTTACCATGACAGAAAGGCAGCTGCTGTCTTTAAGTTTGATGTGCTCACTCAAAAACAATATAGGGCAGCAGTTCTGACAAGGAGCCAATTGGAGTGCCTGTTTGAATTCAAAGAGCTCGAGCTAGTTGAAATAGTAGATCATTTTCATTGAAACTTGGTTCCAGTCTTGACAAAAATAATCAACTTCGTAAGGAACATGAATAACCATTAAACCATATTTCAGCTGCCGTATTTGTCCCTGAATTATGTGCCAATCAAGTGGCTTGAAAAAATTATCTTTAATTTGGAGAATTTCTACTGTAAAAAGGCTTCTTTTTTTAAAATCTGAAAACCATTCCTCTACCTGAACATTACGAATCACTTTCCGTTTGTTTCCATTTTCAAAGCAGCCTGTGAATTCACGAAAATAATCTTTTTAGTATTTAGTCTATTCTTATTTCGTTTACCACCTTGTGTTTGTTTGATTTTAAAAACAGTCAAGTTCGTTTTTGCGAGACTGTTGTCCCTTCCCGTTGTTGCAGACATACGTATAGAAACTCCAATGATCTTAATTTATATGTATCATTCTAACCGCCCCATTATTCTACAAAGGTGTGAAACTTTTCATTTAATTGTTCAATTGGTGATTTTATGTGTAGAATGAATTTGATTTGAAATTTTCTGAGAAACTATGTCATCTTATCAGTTCGTGCCAGTGAGCCACTGAATGTCTTGGCGACAGCAGCATGTCGTTCCAGTGGGCCAACCCGTCCCCACTTGAGTACATGTATGGCCCGACCATTATTCTGCCAACAATCCTCTTACTCGACCCAGACCTCGGGTTTGCGCACACTGCCATGATGAAACTCACTTTATCCATGTATTCGTTCGGTATATCGAAAAGAAAAGACTCGTTGAAAACTGGGTTAGCAATGTCTCGTTTCCGAAACGCGGACGTCTTCTTTGTCTTTACTGACTTTCCGCCTGATATCATTGACACTTTCACATATACTCCTAAAAAGATGCACAATGTTAAAAAATTGGCTTTGAACTGTTGCAATAAAATTTTCAATAACTTTTTTTCTTTACGTTCTTTGAAGTTGGTAAACGTACGCTACTATCTAAGTTGAAGCTAATTAAAACCAACTACATATATTAACAAGAACCGAATTTAACAACAGTAACAGTAATAAATGAATTACTGATAAAATACACCAATGTAAAGTAGGTACCCTGTCATTTTATGTAGCCCACTTGTCCTATAAATGGTTTACAAATGCGGCATGAGCAATTAATGCGTAGCTTCCCATTCAATTAATGCGTAGCATACTAATCAATTCGATTGGAAACCATCGGAATCAGAGCAATATCCGAGGACCTTACTAGTTCCAATAACATTTAACCTTGACCATTGAGAGATGTTGTTATGGCTGTCAGTCTCCGCCCGGGCAAAAACTACTGCAAATCTCATAAGTGAGGCAAATGCTTTTTCACCCTGTTGAAGGTAGTCTCGATTAATTTAGGAACGTGGAGAAGTTGAGAAAAGAAGTGAAAGTATCTTAATTACCAGAGTCCATTTCGTCGTGTACTCGCAAATCCTTGCACTTCAAGATCACCACGGTCAGTCGTCCTGCAGTCGGCAAGTGCATCAGCGAAATCAACATGCTCCCGTTAACATCCCCTGGCTGTTTGATAAAAAATCATTTCATAATCGGGAAGTCAGTAAATCTAGGTCATCAGCAGTGGCGTAGCGTGACTTTTTCAACTGGGTATTCTCTATTAATCAAAAGGGTGGGGCAGGGTGTGGCTCGATGCGGCTTGATGAAAATAGGGGGATAATAGAAAGATTAAGAGGACTAGCTATTGACATTTTATCTAATTTTCTTTTTGGTTCGGTTGGCAAGTACTGCACTGTCAGGGCATTGCTATGATAAAAACGATACTTTGCTAAAGGACCCTTCAAATATACTCTTCGAACTCATTCATTGCATCATATTACTATTAACCATTTCATCAAAAGTAATTCAAATCAAAACATATCATTGAAAGCCAGAAAAATTTTACTGGTCGAAATATGTCCCAATAGTTGTTGTTAAATCGTCTAACATTTGCACTGATGTAAAGAGGAAGTAACTGTAAACACCTACTCTTAATACCTTTTAATACAAAAGGGCTTTCGAAAGTTTCAAAATTATTCACATAGGGCATTACATGAGTTATAAATGATTTTGTGGTATGCAGTATAGACTTTTTCTTCATGGTCTAATCGTGATACTTTCAATACAAGTTAATATTTGAAAGAATCGAAGGTAATGAGATGAGACTGCACAATAATGCAAATAATTGCGCTCGAATAATGCAAACAAAATAGGCCAACAAGATAACTGAATACACCAGGCAACTATAAGGATATTATCCAGGCCTATCTGCATTTACTTTAATTCTATCACATAATACAAACAGAAACATCCCTGATTGGTAAGCAATAACAAATTGGCATTTCAAGAGGGAACAGATCTGAATCAGTGTAGTATTATGTAGCAGCCTACCTTACCTTTCCACTTTGCTGTTGGTAGATTAAGATTAGGGGTCAAATGAGAGAATGATTATGAAACAGTAATACAGACATTGCAATAGTTTTTTAATTAAGTCATGTTTACTGTTTTCGATGCAGCTCCATCACTCCAACCGCTCCGACGACGACTGTTTATATCGATCTCATAACGAGACTATTTTGAACCAACTTTGAGGCTGTACGCTGCATATTTCTCAGCGTACAGAACCATTGTTTTAGCTGATTAATGGCAAATATTATTCATGGAAAGGAGCATTTTGATTGGTTAAAGTACCGTCTAGGGTATTCACTGCGTATTCATGACCAATCTCCATACAACATGAAGTAGCTCAATCTTCAAAATTAGCTTCAAAGATCTCCCAGCTTCTCTATGCTTCGCAGCGTTATTGTTTCCATGAATTTCGTGATATTTTGTACTTGTACAAAATGTAGAATATTGAAGGTAACGAATTCAACCAGAATCAATAGCCCCAAAACATTTTTTACTTATTACAATTATACGTCGTATTAATATTTTTTCTGAGAAATCTCAGGGTATTCACTGAATACCTTGAATACCCGGACGCTACGCCACTGGTCATCAGAGATTTACTACTTTGTTTAATAGATGCTAACAATGCCTTTTAAAGGAGCTCAAGCTATTGGGACCGATCTCCCTCAAGCCATTGTACTCTGGGTAATATTACAAAGCAAGTTCGATGAATATCTTTGATACATTTGAGGCTTAGATACAAATCAGAGCCTCGTTATAACACAGTTTTGTAACGATTCAAAGCATGAGAAGCAAAATGGTAAATCAAAATATTTATATTTACTATGAAATCATCTTTGGTTATTTCTCTCCATATTTCTTCTGTGCCTTGATCCAAAACGAGATCCTCCTTCGCCTCAATTATCGGAAAGACTATATATCCCATGATACTTTGCCTTGAAAATCTATCATATGTACAAACTGTCATCCTCAATGTTCGATTCAAGATGTCGTCTGGAGGAGCCGTGTAAACGAATTCTTCATTAAATTCTGGGTTGACATCTTTAACAACTCTTGTCTGCTGCTTTCGTTTTTTGTCGGGCATCAAAACAATTTTCGCAAATATCTGGGGGGTTGCATTCCTTTGATGCAGCTGGGCAATGCTGTTTATTTTAACGTGTAGCTTTTCTGCCGTTCTGTCATATTTCAGCTGAAAGCACATTCGTCCGAGGCCCAGGTAGGGCAGTGACCCCATCGATTCGCTTTTTTCTCTTGAATACATTTCAACGTCTAATGTGGCGGGATCAAAAGAGTGTGGATCATAGGAGTGTCTTCGCTGTATCCCAAAAGGAACAGTGGTGTCCACAAACTGTCTTTGTGCTAAAGGGCTCGACGGCAACGATTTCGGCGGGTACTGGGATCGCAAAGGCATTTGTTGAGCATGAAGGCCCGCCTCGTACCGAAACGCAACGGCACTTTTTAACTCTTGCTTTTCTGTTCGATTTGAATGGGCCTTTCTTTTTTTCAGACACCAACGGACCCATATCAGAATGAGAATGATGGTAAACACAAACGAAATGCAGAGAAGGAAGTAGAACAACCATTCCTCTGAAAACAAACAGTTTGTTTTTAATAAAACAAGTGTTATGTTAATAAAAATGGTACATGGTATGCGAATTTGAATCAAGATGTTCTCCATGGAGCAAGAATTGCGAAAGGTAAGACTACAGTAAAATTCAATTTTTCTAGTATCATTATTATCAAGGCTGCTGTTTCCATGCATTGGGGAACGGAACAAGTACTCCCCGACAATATTTTTGTTGGATTCGCCACACATCATATCAGTGCTACTTAGGCAGGATTTTTATCTATAAGGATTGATTTAAAATCAGTAAATGGATTTTCACCGTGAATGGAATGAGTGAATGCTGTTTTTCAATGACACAGCATTTTGTCAGATAAACAATATCTTCTTGACCAGCCACGCCCAAGTTGAACACGGTCTTTTGATACATTGAAGCCTCTATGAATTTATTATTTGTATGGTATATAGTTAACTGTTAACTGCTCGAGTGACATGACCAAGCAGATTTTAAACCCACGGCCAGCGGCCAGCGACACTATGCCTTTGGTTTACCAAATGAGCTACCCAGTCAATCCTAGCCCAAACTCGTGTCCCTCAGCCCCCTTTTTATTGGAGCCATAACAACATCCATCTCAATATGCGCTAGATCTGCTATGAGGAAAGACGTCCCACACCAGGGGATGGGCTATCATAGCCACTATATCACGGTTGGGAGGAAATATAAGATCCTTTTGAAAAATCCTGTTCTATTATCCCAAGTCATGTTATGTTTATCATAATCGCCTGATGTATCTTCTTTCTTTCAACATTTGGACATCAATATTGAAACTCGTGGAAGATACTTGCACGTGGCCCTGTTGAATTTTACTTGTTTTGGACGGTGTGTGTTTGCTTTCTTCGCAACCCATCTCACCAAGGCGGCACTGAAAACTCCTCCATAAGAGAATGCTGCATGAATTTTCGGCATTCAGCTATTTGAAATACTTTGGTTCGATGATAAAAATCCAAAGTACAAGTGATTAGAAAGGTGTATGTTATAACAAGAAAGCAAAAGTGTTCAATTTGTTTAAATATTTGTTTTAGATTTTGTTCCTTTTTTCACTTAGTAATCTTACCCTGAATCAAGGCCATAGCTTGCTTTGAACAGTCCAGCTGTATTTTCTTCAGTCTTTCTGTTCTTTTTCCATTTTTTCCTCAACCTGCAAGTAAACAGGTTTCCAGGCTTAATTTGACATAAATGATCATTGTTTTGTTGTTAAACACGGTGATCGGCAGAAAACACAAAGTGCTATTCTGCGGTGACAGACAAATCAATTCATCTCCTTTTCGATACCTTTCCGACAACCGAAATCTTTCCGGGTAAATTTTGGATCAGTCAAATTGCTTTAAAGAAATATTTCGCCTGAGACTTCTTTTCATCTAGCGGGATGAGTGGTTTGCACATAGCATATTCAACATTTGAGTTTAAGTATCTTGATTGGCCAATCGATGTGTTGTACAGCCGGACATTTGAAAATGTTATAGTCATATGCAAAATCACATAATTATGTTAATAGTGTAGTAAATGATTGTTAGCAAATAGATTTAGCTATCTATCGAGCTAGTTAAAGCAAACTACCCATAATAAATATGAAAAATAATTATCATATATAGCTAGTATGTATACCAAAACGTCCTGTTCATCTAAAACAGCACTCAAAGTTATCTATAGATTTTGTTTTTCGTTGAGCATATCCAATGTTTATGACTCTTTGATTCTTCCAGTAACTTTTTCCATAATGTAGGTGCATATATCTAATTGTCTCAGTGCCATATGTTTTAGCACTAGGTAAACCAATGTTGTTATTAATTCAAAGTTTATATTGTATGACTTCGGATATTAGCAGTTTTGAATATCCCAATCCAGAGCAGCTATGAATTTCTCTGACAAAGGGACACTAAATAGGTCTCATAATCATCATTGTCATATCACTAAATAGCTGATAACTGGTTCAAGTTTGAATGTATTTTAATATTCAATTTTCTATGATGTAATATACTGACAATTGGGCAATAACTGATATAAGAAATTTTGAAGGAAGTCATTTTGAAAGCTAAATGCGTTGAATCCATCCATGACTGCAGAGGCCAACATCATGCGATTGAAAGCTTAACATTTTGCTTAGAAGTGCGCCAAGAAGCTAGCGTTTATTTTACTGTACTCATTTTCAAACCGTTAAAATAAAGGCAATTGTTCCTGTCTGGATCAGATCCATGTGCGAAGAAAGTAGCATCATCTACATAATTACATAAATCACTATATTTCACCAGACAAAAATGTCGTTGACGAAGATTTTGAATAGCAAGGGGACGTACTGAACCTTGTGGAACGCCAATGGAAGCATTTTTCCAAGAACTGAATCTGCTTTTATTTTCCTTCTTTGCCGCAGCTCATGCAATAATTGTGTATGAAGGGGTCTTTTACTGAATCCATATGCTATGAGGTTAGCTATCAAAAGCTCACGATTGAGGCAATCAAAAGCCTTGGAAAAGAAGCCTTGTTAGAGCCTACTGTGTAATGTAGCCTTCCCGAAAGGCACATGGATATTTGGATATGAGGAGATCAATTAAAAATCTAGTTTTTTCAAAAAAACGGCCCGAATATTGCCCTCTTTGAACTTAGCCAAAAATGCTTCTTTTTCGATACAATTGTTAGGATTTTTGTAGTATGTACAAGAAAATATCAGAATTCCCCATTAGACTCCTGTCAGGGATGTTATCAATCAGTTTGTCTTATTTTTTTAATCCTTGTAGTTTTTGCAAGGCTTTATCACTAGCTATCATTGGAAACCGAAAATCGGCAGATCGTTGTAGGTTTGTGGGTTATTTTATTTTCTAGATGCAGTGATTCCCAATGGGCCATTTGTGCAAGTCAGGCGACGCATTTGTGATCCTTTGTGTTTTTTGATATCGTTGAAAAGGAATTGATTTGTATATTGCTCGGAATATGTTTCCGTCTTAAAAACAAGCGAATCTCAAAGACTAATCGCATCTTCTTTTTTCGGATTGAACAATAAAAGTATACACTCTCGCAAGAAAGACTTTCTAAATGCTACAATTTTTAACTAGATCTTCTTGTACTATTTGTTTCTCTTCGTTCAGTTGACGAAACATGGTGGAATTAAGTCAATTGATGCATGTACAAATTACGGCTAGATCTACACCTATAAAGTTACAAAGACCAAGGCAGTAACTGTTTCATACCTTTTTCTTCAAAGAACAGAAAAATCAAATGCCAGGGCATCAAAGACACTCCATGCAAGCAAATGTGAAGCTTTCGACGCAAGGTTTAAATTTGAGTCCATCGGCAAATATTATTTTTGCATTTCATTCAATTTCTTCAACCACCTGCTAAATGGCTATCAGAGTTTAACTTTTTTTCATATAAAAATTTCACTTTGCAGTTTACGTTGCTTAGAAACTAGTATCCTTGGTATTATCTCCTTTGAAACAAAAATCAAGTTTTGTTTTGTTTATCGTTATCATTGCGCGAGATGTCTCTGAGACGAGATGTCATTGAGACTTTATGTACAGCCGTAAAGAGATTGAGACCCTGCTGATTCTACCATAATTTACCCTCACAAGAACAGTATCATTTCACAGGGAACTAAGAGTGTTGACCTTCGTTTTTTTGTTTACTTGTCTTTCTCATAGAGATGACATGAAACCAAGAATAAGAAATTGTTTTTTTTGGCTGCAGTAGCAACTTCAGTAGCGAAATATCACTTTTTTTAATCATAAGTTACCAATGTTAATTTAGCCATGATGATCAGCGGAATTTGAAAAGCTCTCACAGAGGCCGAGCTAAAGTTGATCTACAAGATGAGCTGACTGGTCACGTGTCCCAGTGGCTAAAGAGACATTGAAAGATGTAACAAAGTAGCAAAAAACCCAAAATTCGTGGCAAATTTGCTTTTTCGAGGAGGGGGGGGGGTGTATCCACTGTGCCCCTTATATGATCTTTCATCAAAACGGGCACGACCTTTACATCTTGTATACATGCTACGTTTCACCTGGAGTTATCATTTCACCTTAAAAAATTAGATTCACAGCAGATTTTGTAACTGTAAGCATAGAAATTAGCAACAAACTGTATACTCTTGATAGATTCATTGTGTAATGGACTACAGGTAATACAGTCCTTTAATGGTTATTGATGATTGCTATTACGGCCAAGTCCCCACTGCTCAGTACTATATTTACAAGTTTTTCATACTCCAACTCGTTGAACATGACGGTTTGATATTTTAACTTTTTCATCAGTTATCTCTTTTCACCCCTTTGGCCCCTGCAGCTTACACCCCTTCCGGCTAGCACCCCCTTTTGGCTAACGCCTTTTCTTATTAACATCAAAATTTTTGCCACAGCTATCGATGTTTTTGTCATATCCCCAGTTAGTCTAGGAATCGCGGAAACGGGGGGAAAATTTCCAAAATGTACTCAAAACCATACAAAAATCGCCCAGCTCTTGGTTTTTTGTTTAACCCCCTCAAAACGTTTTAGCTCTTTCAATCTCTGATATTCTCGGCGGTTCTTGAGTAACTGCCTTTTCTGCTTGTTGTTGCTTTTCTAGTATGTTTTTACATGCTTGTCTTAACACCTTAGTTCTCTGTTATTGCTGCTATTGCCGGCTGTTTCTCATTTGCTTATATTACAGCGATCGTAACGCAGTAAATCAGCCCTTAATTATCTTCATCTTCGACGCTTTTTCCTGCTTTCTTTCCTTCAGGCCTTTCATACACATCCTTAGATGTACATAGAAAACATGAAACATGACTTTGAATGAGTACTTAATGTATGAACGCACAGCATCCACTTACAATGTTGAACTGGTCTGGTTTCTTTAGTTCAAGGCATCATAAAACTATTTGTGTATTGATGCAATGTAGGTGCCATGTGCCTGTTTCCTCGGCCTGTTTCCTTCGAATGACTTCACGTGAACTATTGCTGCCTAGAGGCCAAAAAGCAACGTGTAGAAAATCAAAGAAGCTGTTCTAAGCTGTGTACACCTTTATTGTTTTGGTCAAACAGCCCACTGTATCAGCTGCTGTCTTCTTATCCGCGGCTTGCACATATTTTCCTAACGACCCGTCG